CAAAATATAATTACATTAACGGAAAGTTTGGAACTGTTTGAAGTTTTTCATTTATTGTTAAGATTTTTTTTGGAATTGCTATTTATTATTAAGATTTTTTTATGAACTGCCAAAAATATGGATGTAGAATTATTTTGTTAAGATTGCGAAATTAATAGGATCATAAGTTTGGAATTATCCTTACCTAATTAAATTAATGAGAAATTTTGAATTGTGTGGGTAACAATATTTGCAAAGATTTGTTAATTTTATAGTTAATGATATAGAAATTTTAGGATACATTCCATTTGTTTGTTATGTGTAGATTTTGTTTACTATTTTGATTAGTAGGTACTAAATTTATGGGATCTGAATTTTATAAAAATTAATAAATTGATTACGTTTTAATTAAGTTTTTTTCTTTTGGTTAGTTTATATATTTGAAATCGCTGTAATCACGATTATTCCAAAATAAACTCAAATTCGTATTAATTGTCAAGTAGCGGTGGTAAGTGCGGATTAACTGCTAAAGATCTTAACAAATATGGCGATTTTATTATTAAATTATGTAAAATATCCATATCTATAATTAAATCTCATTAATATTTGTTTCGTAAAAATATTTTTTTTTATTCCCATAATATTCAGAATTTATGTTGCAAAATAGTATTACCATTTGAATATCTTAAAATAAAAAATTTGTTTATAAATAAATTAATGTTTATTTTCTTTAATGTTTATTTCTTTAACTGCAAAGTTGCTTAATATATGAGATATGAATTTAAATTTCGAATATTTATTTTATTAGATATCGAGTAGTTATGGTAAGTACGTAAAATCACAGCATTATCAAACAATGGTAATTAAGATTTGATTAGGATTAGCTGTTATTAGTTTATATTTTAATAGGTAAATCCCGAGATTATTGTTAGCAATAGCTTTTAATTTCGAATATTTGACTTCCATATGTTAGGATCTCAAATCTCGTTTGCTTAAAAATAGGAATTGTTAGAAGAGTTTATTAATTGATTTGTAAATTTCATTAAGACAAATATTTTGTCAGATTTTATTTGTAGGGACTAAATGTACAATATTGAAATTGTAAAAGGATTTTTGAGGCCAAATCTTCACCAAAAATGTATATATAGATGAGAAATACATGTATCTTGGATACATGTGTGGCAGTATGGGCCTAATAGATAATAGCCCATTAAATTTCCTTATTGATCCGTTTAAAGCCCATTAATATTTACCTCATCAAGAAATCCAAAATCTGAAAAGTATGTGGCTATGTGGAAGCAGAGGCTGGCGCGTGCCTTATCTGCTTCTCTCTCTTCAGTGGTCTGAAATCTCTCTGTGTGATCCCACTTGTCATCCTCCTCCACAACATAAAGCTTCAGACCAAAACCCTTTAGCGTTTTCGGCTAGAGCTTTCGATGACTACATCAATGGCGTCCTCCTCCCTTTCCCCTGCTACTCAGGTTCATTCTTGATCATTCGAATTGAAACAATCGGGTCTTTTTGTTTCAGTGATTGGATTTTTGAAAGTTTTATATTTTTTTTGGTGGCAGCTTGGTTCAAGCAGAAGTGCTTTGATGGCGATGTCGCGTGGGTTGTTTGTGAAGCCAACGAAGACGAATCATCAAATGGTTAGAAAAGAGAAGATTGGATTGAGAATTGCGTGTCAAGCGTCGAGTATTCCAGCAGACAGAGTTCCAGATATGGAAAAGAGGAAGCTTTTGAATCTTCTTCTTGTTGGGGCTCTTTCTCTACCTACTGGCTACATGCTTGTCCCTTACGCTACCTTCTTTGTTCCTCCTGGGTCTGTTTACTTTTCCTCTGTTCCTCTATTTGATTCCAATTCTGTTCTCGACGCCTGTTAATGAGATTAATTGATTTTGATTTCTTTCTTTTGGGACATTGATTGCATCAGGGCTAGTCTTTGTCTTATGTTTTGTTTTGGTGAAGTTTAGGGAATCTTCTGAACAATTATCCGAATGAGACTCATGGATTTTCCTTTCTTCTTTTGAACATTGATTGCATTAGGGAGAAAATCTAGAGACTCTTTGTATTGTGGTGAAGTTTGAATTTGCTTTTGTATGTTGTTAGCTTTTGGTTTTGATTCAATCCAATATGTAGTATGAATAAGTTTATGGCTTCTTTGGTGTTACTGAGATGTGAGATTGATGAGACGATATAGTTTATTTTCATTTGTTGTCCTGTTTTTTAATTTCTATGTTGTTTTGAAAATGCAGAACTGGAGGTGGGGGTGGTGGTACTCCAGCCAAAGATGCACTTGGAAACGATGTAGTTGCTGAGGAATGGCTTAAGACTCATGGTCCCGGTGACAGAACCCTGACCCAAGGGTTAAAGGTAAGAAGACGAAACACTACTTGAAACAGTACTTCATGATCTCAATAAAGGTTCGTGCATCTCAATGGGTGCGGATTTTATGTTATAGGGAGATCCGACTTACCTAGTTGTAGAGAACGACAAGACTCTAGCAACATACGGTATCAACGCAGTGTGCACTCATCTTGGATGTGTTGTGCCATGGAACAAAGCTGAGAACAAGTTTCTATGTCCTTGCCATGGATCCCAATACAACGCCCAAGGAAGAGTCGTTAGAGGTCCAGCGCCATTGGTAAGTCACATGCATTACACACTCTCTCCCTGCGTATCTCTCGAGTATATTTTCTTAAGTAAACTTGTTTTCATGGAACAGTCGCTAGCATTGGCTCACGCGGACATAGATGATACTGGGAAGGTTCTTTTTGTACCATGGGTGGAAACTGACTTCAGGACTGGTGATGCTCCATGGTGGTCTTAAAATTCTTCAACAAGAAAAGAAGAAAGATTTGGTCTTTTTGTGTAAGACTTGTTTGAATGTTCTTATAATGTAAAAGCTGTCCGTAATCATACATTTCATGGCAATTACTCTGTGAATTCTTCTTGCCTCTTATATGAAATATTATGTTCATTCACTTCCCAAGTTTCTTGTTTAATTAATTAATTTCACTTTTTCAAGACTCGTTTTGGGTGTATCTAAATTTTATTAGTTGACAATGAAACATTTTAAGAAGTTATATAAATTTCTTAATGTAATCAACAAAGGCCCGTATAGCTCAGTGGTAGAGCGTCAGTCTTGTAAACTGAAGGTCCGTAGTTCGATCCTGCGTGTGGGCACTTTTTTACCCCATTGCTTTATTTGTTTTTATTTTATAGCACACTTAGGACTTGATTGGTTCTCCCGCTACCACCCGCAAACGCTACGTTTGCGGGCGGTTGCGGTTGCTAGCGTTTAAAACCAATCATAAAAAACGTTTTATACCGCTCCGAACCGCTCTAGACCGCTCCGAACCGCTGAATTCAAAAGCTCCTTCCCGCAAGCGTTTGCGGTTGCGGGCGGTAGCGGTTGGCAATTTTTTTTTTTTAATTCAAATCCTATATATATATTAAAAATACATAAATAACAAATAAATTAAAAAAAAAACTGAAAAAAATTAAAAAAATTTTTTTATCAAACCCTATATATATTAACGTTAATTCTCAAAACCCTAATTTTTTTCTATTTACCAAAATTATGGCGTCAATCTAAACTCAAGAAGCACAAAATACAAACAAAGTATTGTAATAAAATTATTAATCCAGAGAATCTAAGAATTCAAAACATCTATTTTTTTAGTTTGTCATATTATTTTTTTTGTAATTTGTTATTTTACTTGATGCTGTTTTTTTATGAACCAAATGCATGAAGTAATAAACACTTAACTATGAAATATATTATTTTAATTATGTAGTAATTTTATATATTTTATTATTATTAATTATATATAAATTGTTTTGTATTTTATCATAATAATATAAATATTTGGTGTTTTTATACTTTATTATATAATTATAAATTATATTTCTTTTGATCATTTTCGATTTAACCGTTGTCGCATCCGCTGGTTAACCAGTCATAAAACTCCCGCAAACGCACCAATTTTCAACCGCTTAACCAGTCATTCAAAATGCATCATAACGCTTGAAACCGCAACCGCCCGCTTCCGCAAACTCCCGCAGACGCAACCGCACCCGCTGCGTTTAAACCAGTCAGGCCCTTAGTTATCTTTATTTTTTCGCAAATGTTATAAACTCACCATATCTCTTTGCTGTAATTTGTTTCTCCAAGTGATCATTAAACTGCGAATGTGAACATAAATCATTTAAACCAAGTTTACTTTTTTGTCGTTGACATATTTTCTTTATTTTTATATTGAAAAAGTCAATTCAAAGACTCCACATAGTTGGGACAGTACCACATAGTGCTTCACCACCACTCCAAAGGATTTGGTCTTTTGCCGGCTAAATAGCTAGTAGGTTAACAATTAACTTTAGAACTATGATAAAGTAAAATAGTAAATCATTTCGTTTAGCCAGTCAAAGTGGTGTCATGTTCTTCTTTAGATCTATTAACAGTAAATAAGCTATTCGACGGTTACATTCACCCTAAAAAATAATCGGACGGTAAAAAGTCGGATCACTCTTTGGTTATCAAAAAAAAAAAAAAATACATTGAATTTGAATCAATGTTTTAATTAGTATCTTGTTTGTTTGGATATTTAAATTAATCGGATTGGTTAGAAAAACAAAAACTTGGTTTTGTCATTCAAACTAAACTAACTATACAAATAAAAATTTTAAACTAGTATTGTATGAATAATTTTGTGATAAATATGAATTGACTAAAATTAAAATTATGTTTTTGGGTTGAAATTTATAGAAAGGGTCGTCTTTTACAAGACTTCGATACAACGCCACAAGTCTCCTTTAAAAGACCCAACATTTCCTCTCAACCAACAATAGAACAAATCTCTCTCTATCTCTCCTATTTTTGTCCCATTTACATGTTATTACCTCGAGCTTTTGGTTAAGATTTTCCACCAATTCTCTCTAACATTCTCCTTAGTTTCTGAAATTACCCTCACCGGGTCTCCAAGAGGCCAAGAAAGACCCCTCTTTCTCGGCTTCTCGGAGTCTCATCATTCTCTTTTTTTGCATTTTCTTCCTCCACACGCAACCTCTGAAAAACCCTAAATTTTAAAAACAAATGGATTCCACGGAGCTAAATCGTGTGTTCCAAATGTTTGACAAGGATGGAGACGGTAGGATCACTACAAAGGAGCTGAACGAGTCATTAAAGAACCTCGGTATCATAATCCCCGAAAACGAGCTAACGCAAATCATCCAAAAGATTGATGTTAATGGTGACGGTTGCGTTGACATTGAAGAGTTTGGAGAGCTTTACAAGACGATAATGGTTGAAGATGAGGACGAGGTAGGAGAAGAAGATATGAAGGAAGCGTTCAATGTATTTGATCGGAACGGAGATGGGTTTATAACGGTGGATGAATTGAAAGCAGTTTTATCTTCCTTGGGACTCAAGCAAGGTATGAGCTTGGAGGAATGTAGGAAGATGATAATACAAGTGGATGTTGATGGTGATGGTAGGGTTGATTACAAGGAGTTTAGACAAATGATGAAAAAGGGTCGGTTTTTTAGCTCTTTGAGCTGATAATAACTTTTTTTTTCTCTTGTTTTTAATTTTGGTTATTTACTTAACCATTTTCTCTTGCGGTCTAGAAGGAAAATCCATGACCGTAGACTATTTATCGAATTGTCTAGACTTTCGAGAGCACATTGTAAAAATCTGTAGGTTCCTGTTTATAATGTGATGAGTGATGCTTTGTTTAACATTAACATTCAATTTACCTTGAATTTCAAATAATGCAGATGTCGAATAATAACGTAGATATACTCTATGTTGTTTATACGTATTCTATAATAATCATTTAAAAACAAAAGATCTTCAAACAATTGATACGATCTTTATAAATTATAATCCGCACTAAGATCACAAATAAAAAATAAATACCATTAACACCAGAATTAATTTGTATTTAACATAATAAAATTTTCTCTGATAGATTCAAGAAACTTTTTAGTGTTGAGAAACGTCAAGTCGTCAGGCACCATATTAATTAACGCAACCAAAGAATCTGGACGTATAATGGGCCTCTTTTCAGAGTAAAAGGGCCGAAGTATTGAAAGGACTTTTTAGTGTTAAGCGTCAACCATCCTACAATTTATTACATTTGGATGTATATTGGGCCTTTGGTAAAAATAATGGGCCTAGCTTATGAACTAAAGTTTGCTAACTACGTCAGTCTGAATACATAAGCACAAACGTTTTGCAAGTAAAATTTCATTATAAACAACAATGGTAAGAGAGAGACAGTCCGTTCATCTATAAATTATAGGTCGAGAACAAATAATTCGTCTTTCATCATGTATAATCTTTTTTTTGGGTATAAATGTTAAGATCGTGTATTAACCTAATACATTCATCGTTGATCATCTATTTATCAAAATCCCATGTCTTGTTCGTCTGGTGGTTTACTTAAATACAATTCTCAAGCTCTCTTGATACCAAGGTGATGAGTTAGGCAGTTGGCAAACAATTTGAGGGTATTATAGTCCGTTGTAGATCTATAGCTTAGACATATTGGATTCACCATTGAAAAAGCACGTATTCACACAAAACAACCCAAAAACTGAAAAGACAAAAGATAATCAAAAGCCTCAGTAAGAATCCATATAGCTTCATAGAAATTACAGTTTCTGCCAAGGGGTTCTCCCTGATAAACAGGGTCTCAGCTCCACTGCACCTCGAAAATTGGATTATATCATCATCGGCAGACAACAACAAAAACAATTACAAAATCACAAAAAAAGGCTCAGATTTTTTTGGTATACAGGTTCTTCTATCAAGACTTTTCTGAAGCAGAACTGGTTTTAATCATCACTGCCCTCAAAACAACAAACACAAACCAGACTCAAAAAAAAAAAAAGGACTTTTAGAGCTCATATTAAGAAATTCAACCATTGTTTTCCGTATACTTCATAGACCTAAATCTCAGAAGCGCGGATAATTTTTTAATCATAGCCCAAAACACAAAATTCAAGAAAGAAAAACAAAATCTAGACATTGCTTTGACACAGTTAAGCCGGATTATAAAAGAGACAGAACTGCAACACGAATGACATCAATCTAGCAGGAGCTTTGGGGCTTAATTCTTCATCAATTATATATCAGATTAGCCCGGGAGGCTCCTGCGAAACTTCAAATACCAATAACCCTAATTCTAGAGAAAACTAAAGAACCCTAATTCTAGAGAAAACTAAAGAACCCTAATTCTAGAGAAAACTAAAGAACCCAAATTTACAATGTATCGTGATGTTGAGAATGATAGAATTGATTTTCGACGCGGCTGTTATATAGAGACTAGAGAGCAATGCGTTGATTTAAAACCCTAGTCTTAAAACACCGTCTTCCAAAAGTCGTATCTACCCCTGCTAATTGACTTCCTTTTCTTTGTTGTCGGTTTAATGTGAAAACCCGTTTGTTGTAGTATTTGGGCTTTGTGTAAAAGCCCAACTTCGAAATTTGAAAAGCAGAAAGGTTCGTTTACCGAAATGTCGAAACTATCCCCAGTAATTGATTTGCATATTCGTCATCGGTATATTGTAAACCAGCTTGGTTTTATGATTCTACATTACTCCAAATATTTTTATTTATTTTTTTACTCGTAAACCCTAAAACCTCGAAAGTTGTCGCCGGCGAGAAAATATGGCGACAACCATCGATCGTATCTCTCGTACATTCCTAGCTTCAAGGATTTTTTTTTCTCCTCGCATCATTTTTTATTTATTTTGATGCGTTGTTGTCCAGTTAATTACGATTTGGATATTATTCTTCGATTGATCATTACTATTTGCAGCTAGTGGATTTTTTTACTTTTGTTACCGTTTTACTCATCAGTTTCTTCTATTTTTCAATGGACTAATTGTACATGTGTTGATTTCGCTCGTAGAAAAGGAAGATTTAAAAGTTTAAATAGTCAGTTTTGTTAAAATTATTTACATGTATGACTATTATTGAATTAGCCTTTATTAATAGAGATCGATGTATTTTCACAAAATTAATAAAGCAGGAATCAAAGTCCATCCCTAAAGAAACACTTGAAACCAACAAGATTGTGTTTCTCCAACTTTGGTTCATCATTCCCAAAATCAAGTTTGCAAAGAAAGATTGTTCCTCTTCTAGGTAATAACTAATAAGTTATTGTCACTATTGAAAGCTTGTCTTGTAATATAATGACTCTTTTATTACTGAAAACTTATTAATTTCCAAAATATGCAGATGTGGACTTTGCATCATCATCATCAATCAACCATATATTTGTTCATGACCGGAGGTTAACAAAGCCTGTGAGAACATTGAGAGCATCTAAAGATGAGAACTCGATCCCAGGAGCAGCAAACGTATTGCTAAAGAGACTTTTCTTGACTTTTAACATCATCATGGGAATGCTTCTGTTGGCAATTAGCGAGTTCTTCCCATTGATTAAACTCAATAGACGGTTAGGGACGTATTTTATGATGGTGTTCGGGTTTAGTTCCATATGGTGCCTTGTGGACAGTTTATTGTGCGTAATGGCAGGAATCTTTCGTCTGATTCATGTAATCATTGCCACATTCAATTGGCCGGTTTTGAGAACGTTGCTCTACTACTCTTTCATTGTTTTGAAAGAATTACTTGTTTTTTATTGCAAGCTAAGAATTTGTGAATTTTGTTTGGGCATTTTTAGTCTTGTCATGATTCTTTCTGATTTTAAATAAGAGTGTGTTTCTCCAACTTTGGTCCATTCCCCAAATTAAAATTGTCAGTAAGTCCACAAAGACAGATTGTTCCTCTTTTAGGTATATTTTGGTTTTCAAATATTAAATCTTGGTTTTTAAAACATATATATAACACTTTACACTGAAAACTAATTCCCCAAATCTACAGCAAACGCAAATGTGGATTTTGCATCATCCAACCAGCTCTTTGGTCATGGTTTGCCTCCATTAGCTCTTGGTTCGAGAAGAAACCTGAGACCAAGAAAGCCTGCGACTGTGAAAGCATATTATAAAGATTCAAGATTTGAAAACTTTTCAAGATTCAGATTACCAAAAACCGAAGAGAGACCTGATTGGTTTTGGATGATCATGGCGTGTGTACCTTATTTGATATCCCAAAATGTCTGAGATTGGTTTCTACATGAAACCTTTTCTTGAACAACACGGCGGTGCCATTGGAGAAACGATCACAAACTTGATTCCAGGAGCAGCTAACAACTTGCAACACAAGTTTTTCATGGTGTACTGCGTCTCAGGGTTCATGTGGATGGGGAAGAACAGAAACTAACCTCATTACTTTAGGTTTCATATGATTATGGGAAAGGTTTTAGAAACAGCAATGCAGATCATATGGCGCGCAAGCGAATTCTTCCCGTTGAATAACTTCAATGGACGTTTAGGGATGTATGATCATATTCATATGGTGATGGGGTTTAGCTTCCTTTGTGTTCTTCTTGAATGCTTAAGATGCGCATTGGCTGGAACTATCCTCAGATTCCAATCATTAGCGATGCTGCGTATATGCACTCACGATTCAATTTGGGAGATTGGCCCAAGGCTTTGAGATTTCTCAAGCCTAAACCAAGCCGTTAATTCTACTTTTTTTAATTGTGTAATACTTCAAATTTGTTGTTTTTCATTAGTTTTTCTTGAGCAAAAATAGATCGTAGTTAATTATTTCAAAAAGAAAAAAAAAAGATAGTAGTAAACCGGCCTAATTGAATTCGGTTTGAAGTTGAACAAGAAAAAAGGTAGTAACCGACCTAATTTGTGATATTGGGCTTTTGTTGATAGCCCAATAAGGTATACTTTCACTAAAACCGACCTAAATAAAATGTAGCCACCTCGTCAAAATCAGGTGGCTTCATATTTCTTGCACGTAAAGTTTACTCTAGTCCTCCTCGCCGATCTTGTCTTTTTCGATTTTTGATTTTTTTTTTAGTATCGAAACCCTAAAGCCTCGAAGGTTCTCTCGCCGGAGAAAAAATTATGCAGGGTTTGGCGGCGACCACCACCAACCGTGGCTCTCTCACCTTCCTCGCTCCCAGGTGACATAATCAAACTCATGCTTTCGTTTCTCCTATTCGATCTCTCTCTCTGATTCTTCGATTTTGGAGTTCCTCGTTCTTTCGATGATTTGTGTTGCATCGTTTGATTCTTAGGATTGTTCGATTTGCTATGATTTTATATATGTTTAATCTTCGCACTGCCCCTGTTTAAATCGTCAATTCCAATGCAATTCGAATAAATTTCTTGAGATTTCGATTGATTTTGCTGGTGAAGAAATTTGAAATTAGGGTTTAGAAATGGGGTCTTGCACATGCCCTTGTTATAGGCTTTCACATAGATTTGATGTTGTGTTTACCATTTTTGATAAACCAGGAACCATAGTCCAATTTCAAAGAAACTTGTGAATCCAAGAGTGTTCTTCCCCAACGTTGATTCATTCCCAAAATTAAGCTTAATTTCACAGAGATGTCCTCGAGAGATTGCTCCTCTTACAGGTATTGTTTGGATTCAAGTTTATTCTTTGCTTGTCCTGTACCATGGCTTTCATGTGCTCTTTGTGATTCAACTGATCCCGACTGTTGAATTCTGCAGCGACTGCATCTGTGGACTTTGCAGCAGGATCATCACCTAACCAGCTCTTTGCTCATCGCTTGCCATCATTAGCTCCTGGTTTGAGAAGACATCGGAGACCAATAGAGCCTGCAAGAGTGGCTAAAGATGACTTCTTCAAAATCAAACTGCCTAAAATCGCAGAGAGACCTGAATGGTGGTGGAGGACATTAGCTTGTGTCCCTTATTTGATATCCCTCCAAATATCTGATGTTGGGTTCTATGTCCAACCGTTTCTAGAAAAGCACGATGCGATTGGAGACATGATATATTTCATCCCGGGAGCGATAAACAGATGGCCGACCTGGTTCTTCATGGTGTACTGCTACTTGGGTTATATGTGGGTGGTGAAGAACAAAGAGCTGCCTCATTACTTGAGGTTTCACATGATGATGGGTATGCTTCTTGAAACAGCTCTTCAGGTCATATGGTGCACAAGCAATTTCTTCCCGCTGATTCATTTCAAAGGACGGTTTGGGATGTATTATTGGATGGCCATCGGATTCACCTACATATGTCTGCTTCTCGAATGCATACGGTGCGCTCTTGCTGGAGTCTATGCTCAGATTCCTTTCATGACAGATGCTGCTTCCATTCACACCCTCTTCAACTTGGGAGGTTTTCAGAGACCACTTAGGTGAAAAGCGAAACAGGTCCTTCACATACTTGAGATAGGAAGTAGGAACGTCTTATAGTCTCTTTCTTTGGAGGAGGTTTTTGGTTGTCTTATCGAGTCCACTCTTATGTGAATTCAGTCTTTTAGCTTAGTGTCAGTGTCTCATCTCATGTGTGTTACAGAACTCTCTACAAGAGTAGCTTATGTCAATGATTTTAAAGCCGAAATAATCCGGTCGGACTTGTCCATGATTTGAGAGTATGCAGATCAATTCAGATCTATATCAAAAGTCTTTCAAAGACTATTGCACATGTTGGATTGGTGCGAATATAAATACTTCAAACAGGCTTTTGTTCTTGTTTTGAATCCTAATTTTTAAGCCTATTGGTAGACTTTGTACATAACTCATAAAAGCCTCAAGGTCCACCGGTTTAAATACATTGAAATTCATGGGTTAAGTGGGCTCCATGTTTCCCCACAGAACTTTAAAAAGTGATGAATGATTAATGGAGACCACGTCTCTGCAACATGGTACCAAATCACAATGGCTAATTACATTCCATCTTCTTAACAAAGTCTTCCTTGGTCTTGAATCTCTTGACTGATTCTAAACACAGCTCATAATATGTCTATTTAGTAATTACACATTGTTTTCAGACAGCTCTTAAACGTCTCTCTAGCTTCATGTCAACCATCTAAACCACCATTAATGTTCCTCTGCCCATTTCCAAGAAATTAGAACTCATTTTTCTCTAATTTCTTGATCGTCGCCATGAACGATCTAATCTCTAGTTCATTCAAGAGATACACAGACTTAAACCACCAGGTCCAACTCGATGACATCGAATCTCAAAATGTTTCTCTCGATTCAGGCAACCTCGATGAGTTCTTTGGATATGTCGAGAGTGTTAAAGAAGACATGAAAGCTGTCGACGAGATTCATAAGCGTCTCCAAGATGCTAATGAAGAGTCCAAGACCGTACATGACTCCAAGGCCATTAAAAAGCTTCGTGCTCGTATGGATTCGAGTGTTACAGAGGTCTTGAAACGTGTCAAGATGATAAAGTCGAAGCTTGTGGCTTTGGAGAAATCAAATGCTGCGCAGAGGAAAGTCGCTGGTTGTGGTCCTGGCTCGTCTGCTGATCGGACCAGAACATCGGTCGTTAGCGGATTGGGGAAGAAGCTTAAAGACATGATGGATGATTTTCAGAGACTACGAACCAAAATGGCTACTGAGTATAAAGAAACCGTCGAGAGAAGGTTAAATTCTATATAACCTTTTTTCTTTTTCTTTCATTTGGGTGTTACTCGGATTCAACATTTATCAAATCCTTTTTAGAGGATTTTACCATGATTGAACAAAGATGAAATCTTTTTACAAAAATGTTTAATCTTTCGAAGTAAGAGATGGTAAAGTTTTGAGTTTTTGGTTGAATCTTGAAGGTACTTCACTGTAACGGGGCAAAAAGCGGACGAAGAGACAGTCGAGAAGCTTATATCGAGTGGAGAGAGCGAACGTTTTCTCCAAAAAGCAATACAAGAGCAAGGTCGCGGACAGATCATGGACACATTATCAGAGATTCAAGAACGACACGACACGGTTAAGGAGATAGAACGGAGTCTGTTAGAGCTGCACCAAGTGTTCCTCGACATGGCTGCTCTTGTAGAAGCTCAAGGGAATATGCTCAATGACATCGAATCAAATGTCTCAAAAGCGAGCTCTTTCGTCATGAGAGGGACTGATCAATTGCATGGGGCTAAAGTACTTCAGAGGAACTCGAGGAAATGGACTTGTATTGCCATTATCCTCGCTATTGTACTTGTTATTGTGATTCTTTTCCCAATCCTCTATACCAGTGTACTTAAACCTTGATTTCAAAAGGTAACTTCTTGTATTCTTCAAACTCTTTTTGTTAGAGCCCTTTCAATTTCTTGTATTGAATCCAGAGCTGAAGCGAGAGTTTAATTTGAAGCTCTCTCTAACCATTCTTGCTATTGTAATTGCTTTATATCTAAAATTTTGGGCGACATGGATCGTTTTGTATAACTTTATGTGGAAACCTATAACCTATGAGTAAAACTAAAACACAATGAATTTACAATTTTGAGCTTGAATCATTACCTGTCATGAACATTGTTTTGTTCTGAACTCATCAGATAAAAGTGTCTGAACAAGCTCCTTTAATCTCTCGGCACCAGGGCCTGGTTTCAAAGCAGAGTCATCCCCCCGGACAGAGCACGGATCAGCGCCATTTTCCGAGCTACCAATGCACCAAGCTCCTGAGGAAAACCGATGAGTCCGGCCTAAGAGCTCTCTATCGATCTTGTCTAATACAGGATCGTTCTTGTGGAACTTTCGAGCAAATGGGGCGTTGCTTTTGACCATCTTGTCGAAATCCTTCATCGATAAAGAGTTTGGGTGTTGCTTTGGAGGATAGTCCCAAGCAATGTAGTGCAGGTCATGCCCAATCGCGGTGCTCTTGAACTCTTCAGTGTTACATATGACTGTGTGAAAGTATCCTTCTGGAGAGGATACAAAGTTGGTGTAGTACATTAATATTGTCCTCGGAAAATTATCCCATCCCAAGATTGAGTATTCAAGAAAAGACCGAGTCAGAACTACCCAAGCCGAGCCTGCAAGATTAAAGACAAGATAGATAAACCATCTTTTTTTTCATCCATAAGACCTGTTTATGAAATACCAAACTGAAGATGCTAGCTAACCTGTGAACAGCGTGAAAGATGTGGGAAGTGAACGGTGTTGAGTAGTCCAAGCAATTTCGGTTTTCTTCGATAGGTACAGACCGGGATCAACAATGATTGATTTGGCCCTCTGGTTCCTGCAAAAGACCATGAGAAGCATATCTTATTCACTATTTCGGGATAATGAGTTGTTACTTCAGCGGTTCTACTTACAGTTTCCACCCGGTAAGCTTCATATGTTCAATGAAATTGACGTTCCGAGACAAATTCGCGAAGACATACAGCATATCTGCAGAATCAAGAAGAACAAAAAAAGCCACTACTAAGTACCAAAGACCAAAACATGCAAGTTCAAAACAAAATCACTAACCATCTTGTGTCACGAGAGGATAATCCGAGGCACTAAGGTTGATGAACCAATCCCAATCCAAACTTTCTTTAAGCAAAATCGCCACGGCCTGAAGCGTACAAGCAATCATTGTAGGGCCTTTATAAGTAACCAGATTAGACTGAGACATAACACGAACGTTCTCAACTTCACGGAAAGTCAAATCACTCTTCACAGACATTGCAAGCTCAAGCCTTTCCTTAGGCGGAGCTTCGAGATCCAAATGCAGAACATACTGATTTCTTGGATGATACACAGCTTGCAAAGTCCTCATCATCCTAAGACTATCACCTTTCGTCCCCGAGATCAGATAAGCTAACCTAGGAACCTCTGAAGAATTCGAATTCCCCGTCGAATTCAAAGACATTCTCAAACCTGATTCTACAAAGTAATCATTTGATTCTTCTAAGACATTATCAAAAGGCAATGGTTCTTCCACATAAGAAGTGTCGAATTGGACATAAATGACAGACATCAAAAGAGTAACTGACAAAACCAAGCTTGCTAAAAACGGGAACATCCATTTTCTTCTATCTCTGAAAACCCTAAACCCTGAATGTGAACTAACATGTCTCTTCACTCTCGCTAATGGGTCTCTGATCCAAATCAGCTTCCTATAAACTTTCTTCATCCCCCCAAAAAAGATCAAAACTTTCTCTTGAACACCTAACCAGCAAATCAAAGTCTTAATCTTTTGTACAAATAAAGACAAAGGTGGATAGAAATAACCAGAATTTCAAACCCAATAGAGATTTTGCTGCAGAGTTTTAAGAATTGGGACAACTTGAACGAAAATGACAAAATCCCAATTCAAAGCTAATTAATAGAAGAAGAAAGTTGATAAGAACACCAACAACCAATGCACCAACCGAATAAAAAGAAAAGCTTTTTTACTACTGTTTATTGCTTTTGGCATGGCAGCTAAAAAGCTTGATTAGTCCTAAGCTGAGTCAGATCTAATAACTTAATCGGAGTTTCAAGAACAGAACAATCAACAAATGCTTAAAGTTTAAGTCTTTGCGTCTTTCAAAAAAACATAACAAGACAAGTCCTTGGACAAAGACAGATGCTGCTGAATGAAATTACGGCAGAAGCGTGAAATTAGGGCAGAGTTCTTGCAGACAAAAACAAGATAATGAGAGAAGGATTTCAATTTCTTTGAAGAAGAAACAAATGGAGCGATGATTTGCGAATTAGATTCGGAGTGGTCTGAACTCTGAAGAGAGAAATGAGAAACCGAAGCGTTGAATCAAAAAGTGATTAATTTTTAAATTCAGGGTTTTTCGTAGAGCGATAACTTAAACTGTTGGCAAAATCAATCTGATTAAATTAATTATCATATGGTTTTTTCTTTAATTATGGGATTAGCTAAACGTTGAATAGTCGCTTAAAAGAAAAACGTCGAAGCTGAAACTCTCTGACACGCAAAAAGGCGCGTGACCGTTGTTGAATCGACCATAGCTCACGCGCGCATGACGAGTGTGTTTTACACGAAAGTGGACAACGATCAAAAGAAGTAATGACCTTCCACTTAAAAGTCTTGAAATTGAATCAATTTGATTAGGAGATAATAATGGCCTAATGGGTCTTTTGTCAACTGTTAAGAAAACTTTGCTGATCAATACCTGTTTTAAAGACAACTTTTCCTTCTTCCAAACTTTAAATAAATCTTGAATAAACAGAAAAACTAAAACTGAAAATCATGTCAAAAGTCGTTTTATTTAGGCTGCTCTGTTAATCTTGACTTTGGTCAGAAGACAGGTCCACTTGAGACTATGTTTGGCTGTTGCGTTTGCGACCGCAGTTGCATCATTTGTTGTTGATTAAGCTAAGGCCATGGTGATGTTGCTGGTTAACATAGCTCTGATTTACAACAAATGTTCCTGGCCAACTTGGTGTTGTAGTCAACATCTGAACACTCTTGAATTGCTGTTGCGGGTATTACATCGTTGGAACTAGACTTGGGGATAGATAGGGAAAAAATGCTCATATTGGTTTTGCTGATTGGTCTCATGTCTCATGATTTGATGCAGTTCACCTGACTCATAAGGCTAAACCACGATCTTAAACTCATAAGAAGCTAGTAGCTTTCTTGATAACTGTATTATAATAGCTAAAAGGAAGACTGGAAAGTTGAAACCAACAGAACCAAGCTCTTGGTTTAGCTGAATCAGAGGGCTAAACCACAATCTGAGACAAATACGCTTAATCAAGTAGACCATTAATTAGTCAACTTCTTGGATAGTACACATCATGCAAAAGTCCTCAATCCTAGCCGATTCAAAGATATTGAATGTGATTCTGCAAAGTAATCATTTGATTCTCATGAGCTTAAAGCTGAAACATTATCTAACGATAATTGATCCACAGCAAGTAAGAACTATCTAGTAAAATTTCCTAAACCTCATTCCCTAAGACAGGTGCAGAAAATTGTCACTATTATATTACACCAAACCAGCATCAAAGTCTAGATCTTTTTGTACACATACACACATGACATTGTTGAGAGACTTAGAAAAACCAATTCAGGATTACAAGACCCAATTTACAAATTCTTCGATATCTCTTTGAGCCTCATTCGATTACACAAAAGTGGGCATTGTAAAAAAAAAAGAGAATCTTTATGAATACTAGATTGAAATTGATGAGAAACGATTTGCTTCTACCAACACGATTGAGAAAGTGAAATCTTTCTTCATCTTCAATTTTTATTTTGATTTTCCAGAGTTTTGAGCTAAACAGTTGATCAACGTTTCTCAATCTTTAACAAGTTACACAAAATGGGCATTGTAAAAAGAAAACCTTTCAGACTAGTAGAGTGAACTTTTAGTATCACAATGAAGAAAACTTTTAATTCATTTACTGATATCAAAATCAATCTGAGAGAGTTTTGATAAAAAGAAAAACTAGAATCGTTTTACTTAGGCTGCTGTTGATCTCCACCTTGTTCAGAAGAAGACGCCCCACCGTCACCACCTTGAGACTGCGTTGGTTGTTGCGTTTGAGTCTGAGGTTGCAGAAAATGATTCACCTGAGCCTGTGGTACTACATCTAAGACCAAATAAACACGTTGTTGCGGGTTGAAAGGGTCCTGAACTATAGCAACTGATCTTGTCTGTCCATCTGGTGTTATTGTTGTAGACAACTGATCACTTCTGAATTGCGGCATCCTCTGGTTCAGATGGTTAGCATGTGGATACTGATATGGGTACATCACTGGATCCTGTATTAGCCTCATTCCCCAACTGTTTAAACATTGTTCAGTATCATACCAATGAACATGTGATTCAGCCGGCATTATCATCGTGCTTTGCGCTGGAACTAGATTGGTCACTGGACGTTGGTAATAGAAGTTCTGCTGATTAGCCATTGAATACGGCATTGGCATATGGTGAGCCATTGGATGTTGTTGATTGAAGTTCTGCTGATTACCCCTTGGATACGGCATTGGCCTCATTCCTGAAAGTTGTTGAAGTACATGCCATGGAATAAACGTCTGAATCCCCATTGGCATCTGGTAAACCACTGGATATGTGTTCTGAAGTCTCTGCGGTGCAGATGCAGGAATATGGTTAGCCACTGGATGTTGCTGATAGAAGTTCTGCTGGTTAGCCATTGGATGCAGATATGGGTACATCAGCGGATATTGCATTGGCATCATTGGATTGGCCATCTGGTTAGCTATTGGATGTTGATATGGGTACATCATCGGACCATGCATTGGCATCATTGGATTGGCCATCTGGTTAGTTATTGGATGTTGATATGGGTACATCATCGGACCATGCATTGGCCTCACTGGATGCTGATATGGGTACATCATCGGACCATGCATTAACCATGGCATTGGATTGGGCATCTGGTTAGCCATTTGATGCTGCTGATATGTGTTCCATGCTGGTGAACTAGGAAACTCGTGGTTCTGTACTTCTCTGTTTTCAGCTTCTTCGTTATGGACTGAGAACTCAAAAAAACTATCGCAGCTATCGAGCGCAAGCAATTTCTTCTTGTATATATCACTTTCTTTATTACCAGATTCCTGCCAAGATTTAAGAACCAAGATTTCACATTTAAACATATATCTTACTTACTTGCAAATTAAGTAAACCGGGAATAGTATATACCTTGGGTTCATCACCATCATTGCGATCCTCTTCTTTATCATCTACCCTCCTTATCTCGCCAGATTCACTACTATCACGGTTTCTTGAAGAAGAAGCTTCTGTTTTCTTGGTGGCTTCATTAATGGCGGAACAAGAAGCAGAGTCTTTCACTTGTGGTTTTCGAGCGAAAACATCATCACGATGTGGATTCTGAGGCAGAGTAACAAGACTACTGAATCCAACATTATCTCCCGGAGAAATCATCAATGGAGACGTGTCAGAGTAAGAACGATGTGGATTCTGAGGCAGAGTAACAAGACTACTGAATCCAACATTATCTCCCGGAGAAATCATCAATGGAGACGTGTCAGAGTAAGAACGATGTGGATTCTGAGGCAGAGTAACAAGACTACTGGTTTCTTCATCGCTCTGCATTTGTAATCAAGATTTCACATATAAGCATCTATATCTAACATACTTGCGAATCAAGTAACTGGAAATAGTATTTACGCAATTCGTATTTACCTTGGACGTCTCATATCCATCATCACCATCATTGCGGTTATTTTCTCCAGCTATCGTGTTTATCTCTCCGGTTTCACTACTTTCACCGTTTCTTGAAGATAAAGAAGAAACATTTGTTTTCTTTGTGGCTTCATTAATGGCGGAACAAGACGCAGACACAACAGAGACAGTTGGCGTAGTAGATTCTTCAGAGTCTTTCACTTGAGCGACACCATCATCACAATCTGAATTCAACTCTTCTTGACGATTCAAATCTTCCTCCATCTTGGGATCATCTTGGTCGATAAACTCAGACATGTCGCGAGACAAAGATTGAGAAGCAATGAAATTAGCGAAGATAGAAAAATGAAAGAAACTTTTTAAAGGCATTTAGTATTTATAGCCTGAGTCCTCTCTCTTTCCACTTGCGTTTCTACGTGTATAATTGGATCCGGTTTAGTTCGGTTAAGTCCGGTTAACTGGACCTCACTTCAATTAGTAGATTACTAATTACAGTTGTTTCAAATGAATGAATATCTTCTTAGAAGCAAAAATTCACAGCTTAAAGGATTACAAACACATAGCAAGTTCTATAAATACAAATAGATTCAAAGAATCGAGTACACACACCATTTTACAGTAGAAGGAATATTTTCAACGAACAAAGATTGCAAACAGAGACTGATTCAAGATTCACAAAAACCGAAAACACGAAAAGTCTCTTTTTGCTGCAAAACAACTTAAGTTTCATCCTAAGGTTATGTATTTGTTTTATCCCCTTTGTCGCTCCACAATCCATTGATGAACATCTCGCTCCACAATCCATTGGTGAACTTCAATGCTTCTTTACAAATTCAGAAGATTCCTGAGTCTGCTCCATATCCATAAGAGGCTAGTATTAGGTATCCTGAAAAATGAAGTTAGTCTTTTTGAATCTTGAAGACTGAAAAGGTGAAACTATAAGAACTAAGCTCTTTGGGTTTTAGTAGTTTACCTGACTCACAGGGCCAAACCACAATCTGAGACAAGAACACTCTAAAAATCTGGTCAAGTAAAACCTTTGGCTAACTTCTTGGATGATACACAGCTTCACATGTCCTCATTCCCTGTCAGTTCTAAGACCTTTTGAGATGTTATTCTACCAAGTAATCAATTGTTTCTTCTGAGGCCTGAAATATAATATAACGGCAGTTAATCCACCACATAAGAACCAAAACTTGCTAGAGAAATGGAGAACATGAATTTTCTGTCTCTGAAAACTGAAACCGCTAAACCCTAAACGTGTATCAAATTAACCACAATCTGAGATAAGAACGCTCCGATCATCGTCAAGTAGAATAGAACATTGGCTAAACTTGTTGGATGATCCAAAGACCTTATTGAATGTGAATCTCCAAAGTAATCATTTGATTATTCTGAGCATAAAGCTAAAACATTATCTAAAGACAATTGATCCACACCACATAAGAACCATCTAGTAAAATTGGATATAAACAATCTAACATGATGAGTAACCAAAACATTCTAGAAACGGTGAACATCAATTGTCTCTGAAAATCCTAAAACCCCTAAACTTGTCTCTGCACCCTCCATCTCGTGTCTCTGATCCAAACATGATTCCTATACACTTTCTTCATTCCCTAAAACCAATTTTCCAATCCAATGAATGAAATTGACTCAAACAGGTGCAGAAATTTCAGAGAAGAGATCAAAAATTCTCTCTTTAACACCTAACCAGCATTAAAGTATTGATCCTTTGTACCCATAAACACAGGACACAGTGAAAAGATTGACCAAAACCAATTCAAGGGTTTACAGGATTACCAGAATTTCAAAAACGCAAAAATCTTCAGAACCCAACAAAGGTTTTGTTGCATAATTGGGGAAAATCCAACGGAAATTACAAACTCCAAATTGCTAAGGAATAGAAGATAGCTTTAAAAGTTGATCACATAATTAGAAATGAACTGAGAGCGAAGACAAGTTTAACTCTTGTATGATTTATCCTTTAAGAAAACATAAGAGGACAAGTACTGTGAAAATGACCAATGCTACATAAAATATTAGGGCAGTGAAAGTTAAAATGCATAAGAGATTTAAGCTTACGAGAGATCCATTTAACAACGACATCAGAACAGCAAAAATTTGGAATCCTAGGGTTTCAAAATCGAACTGGAAAATTTGTTGCAGCAGAAATTAGAAGAACATGAGAGTTTTAAAAACTTACCCAGAAATAGAAGCAAAATCCATCTAACGAACGAACAACAGAACTGCAACAATGGATGAAGGAAACAAAAAACTGGAAATTTAGGGTTTCATTCAAGAGAATTTGGAGATCGATCTGTACAAAGTTTGAAGAAAAAAAAAATTTGGACCATTTCTCGATTTATGCGTGTCATCCTAGCGCAGGGGCCATGCTAATCTTCTCTGTATCGTTCCAATTTTATCGGATGTCCCCGAAGGGACAATCACTCTGTAGACTCTAACCATATATAAACGCAGCTTCGTGTTCTGTTCGAAGCGATGTGGGAGTTTTAGTCTTTGACAACGTTAACAACTTAAATAGGCTTGTTTAAAGCCTATTTCTATTTCCACATAGGCCCATTAACATTGTTTTTACTTAGGCTTCTTTCTGATTTATGCGTAGAGGATGAGAAACGACGCCGTTGGCTTTGTGTAACGTTAGCTTTAACATTCAATGTCTAGATTTACAGTTTTATCAGAAAAAATAGAAACTTTTGCAAGAATTGTCTTTAAAATTCATGTCAACAATCAGCTATCAAGATATCATTTCTTCGACCGAGTTTGACGATGGAGATTGCTCTGTTTGAACTGTCACAGTCGAATCTTGATGACCTCGATGATCTGTTCTGTTGAGTTTGACGGTGGAGGAGATTGCTCCATTTTATGATCAAGAGAGAAGAAGAGTTGAAGACGAGAATTATGAACAATCTTGCATTATGAAAAGTAAATCTTTATCGCTAATTTCGCAAAGATGTAACTAAACAAGAACTAGTTTCTCTTCTTTAAACAACAACAATATTGGTAATTACATGTCATAGCATATTCGCAGAAAGCTATGAACTTTGAACAAAGCAAGAGAACTCGAAGAAAGACTAAAAGGAAATAAAAGATGATGATAGCTCGCTGATAATCTCAATTCTATCGCCGTCAACAACAAGGTTCCGCTCGAATGACTTAGATTCGCTCAATGGTATCGCACTTTCTACTAAGTAAAACCTTTCTTGAGGCAGATCTAACTCACCCCTCTCTTGCCTCTTAAACAGCTCTTTCCTCAGTTCTTCAACGTTATCATCTGCGTTAACCTCTACTTGAATTATCCTGGGATCATCTTCATATGGCTTCACATATACTGTCAGTTTCATCGGGCTGGGGTTGATCTTCATTTCCACAGGAAGGACCTCTTTGGCTGAGTCTGACGGTGGAGATTGCTCAGTGGTTTGAACTACTTGATTACCAACCTTCACAGTTGCCGAATCTTGAGGGGCAAGTAACTCAACAAGTGAATATGCCGGTCGTGATGAAAATTCATTCTTGATTCTCCTCGCCGTCACCTTCGTGATCTTTTTGCCTGTCGCTGAATCTATAAGCATTTGATCGTTGTTCTGATTAGGGTTATCCTCGGGAGAGATGGAGAGAAGGAGACGAGAGTCGAAGAGGATCGTGCAAGCAAACTTATGAACATGATCTTGAAGAACCTTGCCTTGGAAGTAAAGAGTTTGTTTCGAAACAGGGATACCTTGAGACTTCTCGATCTTTTCTTTTATCGATAACACTGTCTCCCAGAAATCAACAGTAATGGAGAACGATGATCCACTCAGAGTATCGATGATCACGTCCATCATTGTAACAAAATTATTGACTTGCACACAATTCTTCTCTTCTGCATTAGTTTGTCTAATATTACCAAATATATTGAAATTGACTTGCTAAACCAAACGTTTAAAAAGACAAAATCTTTCTTCTTCATTTTTCTTTTTGAATAGTTTTTGACTAATTAAACCGTTTATCACCCTTTCAAAAGCTTTAAGGAATTACACAAATTGGGAATTCTAAAAAGAGAAACTTTAAGACTAGAGTGAACTTTTAATCTTCAGTGAAAAGTATTGGAATTGATTACGAGTTGTTCCACACTTAAAGAATACATCTTTGACTAAATAATCATCACCACCAGTTCATTTACAGTTACCAAAATCAACCCGAGAGAGTTTTATTAAAAAGAAAAACTTGAAAATGATGTCAAGAATCGTTTTACCTAGGCTGCTGCTGATATTTGCCTTGTTCAGAAGATGGTATAGTGTTAAATCCTTGAGACTGCAAATGATCTTGGCTGTCCTCTTGCGGCATTCCAGAATTCCAGGTCAGCCACTAAATGTTGATAAAAGTTATGCTGGTCAGCCATTGAATGTTGATATGGGTTCATTATCGAATCCTTGACCATCTGGTTAGCCACTGGAAGCTGCTGATATGTGTTGTTATTAGGGCTCCATGGTGCTGCATTGGGAGAAAGTTGACTCTGCATACCAATAACTTGGTCTGTATTGTTTTGATCACTTGTAGACGATGTTGATCCACTCCTAATAATCTGACTAACCCTTGGATTCTGATGACCTAATCCAAGATTTTCTCTAGAAGGCATCATCACTAGAGACATTTCAGACTCAGAACGATTTCGATTCTGATTTGTGTCATGAGGGCTCCATGGTGCTGCATTTGGAGAGAGTTGGCTGGTTTTGTTTCGCTCACTTGTAGACGATGTTGATCCACGGTTTGGTCTTGTGAGTTGCTGTCGCAGGTTCATCGTTTGATCACTCGTAGCAATTAGATTAAGCCTTGGATTCTGATGTGAAGGCTGAGTAATAAGACTACAAGTTTCTTCGTGGCTCTGTATTTCTCTGCTTTCAGCTTCTTCTCTATGGTCTGAGAACCCAAAAAATCTATCATAAAACCTCTCGATATCATGAAATCTCTTGTATAAATCACATTCATCATCAGATTCCTGCCAAGATTTAAGAACCAATATTTCATATTTAAGCATCTATCTTACTTACTTGCGAATTAAGTAAACCGGGAATAGTATCTACCTTGCGATCATCTTCTTTATCACCTACCCTCCTTATCTCGCCAGATTCACTAGTGTCACGGTTTCTTGAAGAAGAAGCATATGTTTTCTTGGTGGCTTCGTTAATGGCGGAACAAGAATCAGAGTCTTTCACTTGTGGTTTTCGAGCGAAAACATCATCACAAAGCTCCGGATTTATCTTAGTCGACTCTTCTTCAAGATTCGAATCTCTGTCCTCTTCGAGAAAACAAGTATTGGTGATATCATAATAAAGAAAGCCGTGGAAGTTTTTCATATATTCGGGATCATCTCGTGGTTCCGGCTCAGCCATGTCGCAAGAGAAAAACAGAGAGAGAGACGAAGAATTAACGAACAAGAGAAAATGAAAGAAATTTAAATAGGCGCCATGCTTTTATACTCAATATCAACAAGGAAGGAAAATTTTAATCCGTTTGGTTCGGTTAAGTCCGGTTTATTGGACATTGTTCTAATTCGAAATTACAATTGTTTCAAGTGAATATCCTATAAGGCTATAACAAGCACAATTTCACCGAATCAAGGAAAATACAAAACACAGAGCAAGTTCTAAAAACTTTTTAAATACAAATTCAAAGATTGATTTAAATATAAACATACACCATTTTACAGTAGAAGTTTCATATAAACCGAGACTGATTTAAGATTCATATAACCAAAACTCCCCACCAATTGAAAGCACCGACATTGATCTTCTTCTCCTCGCCAATCCACTAGCAACCGGAAACACAAAAGGCCTATCAAGTTAAGGTTATGACTGTGTTTATGGCTTAGCTTTAGTTCCCCTTTATTGTTCTTGTGACTGAGAATTGAACATCTCTCGTCTCTGTGATTCACTGGTGAAGTAAATGCTTCTTCACATATCAGTCTGCCATGAATAAATTCCTCAGTCGAATTCTGGTGCTCCATATCCATAAGAGGCTAGAAGTTGGTCCTGATAAATAATAATGATGATAAAAAGGAGTTAGTTGTTTTGGATCTTGAAGACTGAAATGGTGAAACCATAAGAAGTTACTTGTTTGGTCCTTTTTGGGTTTAGTTGTTCACCTGACTCACAGGGCCAGAACCACATTCTGAGACAAGAACATTCACATTAGATACCCGTCAAGTAAAACATTGGCTAACTTCTTCAATGGTACACAGCTTCAGCAAATGTCCTCATTCCCCGTCAATTCCAAGACCTTTTCAAATGTGATTCTACGAAGTAAATCATTTGTTACTTCTGAGTTTAAAGCTAAAACATATGTAACGGCAATTACTCCACCACATAAAAACCGTCCTGTCCAATTGGATATAAGACTCAGTCTAGCTTTAATAAGGGTAACCAAAACTTGCTGAAAACTGAAAACCCTAAACCCTAAACGTGTATCTTCACCGTTGCTAATGGGTCTCTGATTCATTCCAGCTAGTCATAGACACTTTCCTCATTACCTACTAAAACCTTTTTTCCCATCCAATGAATAAAATTGATCAAGACAGGTGACAAAAATGTCAGATAGTAAATCCAAAAATTGTCTCTTCAACCCCTAACCAGAATCAAAGTCTTGATCTTTTCGTATAAATAAACACAAGACATTACTAAGAGATTGACCAAAACCAATTCAAGGGTTGACAGAATTTCAGAAACTCAAGAACCCAGTAGAGATTTTGCAGCAGAAATTGGGGAAAATTAAACGAAAATTACAAACTCCTAATAGCTAAGCTTACTTATCAAGTTGATCAGAGCATAAAAAAACCAATGCATCAACGGCAATGTAATGACTTAATCGAGTTGAAGAAACGAACTGAGAAGGGAAAAATGCATAGAGTTTAATCAGAACAAGTTCTTGGAAAACAAAAAATTGCTGCAGAAGATATTAGGGCCAATGCACAAATCTATTTTGACAACAAACGTTAGAACAAAACGACAACATCGAAAATTTGGTTTCAGAATCGATCAGGAAAACTTTGTAGCATAAGTAATTACCGTAAACGAGATTTAAAACATTACGATATATTTCGTAATTGAGAAACTGAAAACTCATTGGACAACAAACATCAAATCAAAGCTGTAATAGCTAAAAAATAAAACTGGAGATAGATCTAGGGTTACACATTCATCAGAATTTTGGGGTAAAAAAAAATTTGGACCATTTCTCGATTTATGCGTGTCATCCTTGCGCAGGGGCCATGCTAATCTTCTCTGTATCGTTCCAATTTTATCGGATGTCCCCGAAGGGACAATCACTCTGTAGACTCTAACCATATATAAACGCAGCTCCGTCTCCTGTTCTAAACGATGTGGGATGATATGATATCGTTCACAGCTTAAATGGCTCGATTATTATAAGGCCTATTTCTATTTCTACATAGGCCCATTAACATTATAAGGCTTCTTTCTGATTATGCGTAGAGAATCAGAACGACGCCGTTGGTTTTGTGTAACGTTTAGCTTTAAATTGTCAATGAGCCATTGTTGGGTTAAAGAGACTTTGGTTTTGCACCCAAAAAAAAAAAAAGACTTTGGTATGTTGTTAAATCCTATACTAATATTTGGGAAGTACATCCTAAGGATCATAACTTAGATTTTGTAAGAAATTACAATAAATGCCATTATATAATTCTAATCATAAAATTTATTCCATGTCACTAATATATATAAACGGGTCAACGGGTCAACGGGTTTAAAGATATTAAAAGATTTTGTTTATATAATACATAATTAATATAATTCGAAAATGTTATATACTAATCAATAGTCGAGATTATATAATACATAAAAATGTTATATAATACATAAAAATGTTATATAATAATATACTAATATATTATTCGAAAATGTTATTGAAAATGTTATTCAAAATGTTATATAGTAATCCATTATTCGAACATCTTATAAAAAAATGTCATTGAAAATGTAAATGAAAATGATATATCATTGAAAATATTTTATATCAATCCAATTTATAAAAGGATAAGGATTGATAAAAAATTACAATATATGCCATTAGAGGTCTTTAATCATAATTATTTTAATTCCATGTCACTAATATTAACCAATTTATTAAAAATGGGTCAATGGGTCAAATGGGTTTAAAGATATTAAAAAGATTACCTAATATTTAGGAGCTCAATCACGAATCTAACAAACATGGATTTTATTTAGATACAAATAATTTTTAATCATACAACGAAATTTAGTTTAGATTTTAAAATATTTCTTTAACAAAACTATACTAATTAATTATGATTAGTATATATAGAAGAAAAAACGAAATTGTATATATGTAAACTAATTAAATTTGATAATATATTAATAGAAATTTCCAGAAATGATAATCCAATTTAATGTAATTTAATAATAAAGAATCATCATTTATTTTTAAATTTCAAAATTCAAATAATAACAAATCATCATTTTAATTTAATTATCATTTATTTTTAAGATTTCGTCAAGATTTGCATCTTAAATTAATAAAATAAACCCTTGAATAAAAATTAATATTAAATAAAAATATAATTAAATATTATAAAAATAATTGAATTTATGTGCTTTTAGATTGGGAAGTACATCAATAAGTTGTAACATTGAGAAGTGTAAGAAATTACATTATATGCCATTTCAAATCTCTAATCATAAACATAATTAATCCACGTCATTAAAGTTATGAGCCACTTCTTAATCTCGCGGGTCAATGAGTCATTTAAACGGGTTTTCAAATATTACCTAAACAATAATATCAACTAATTAGGTAAGTGATTATTGAAAAAGATTTCTGAAACAATAATATCAACTAATTAGGTAAGTGGTTATTGAGATAGATTTCATAATCAATAAGAACAAATATTCAGTTAAATCTTAACCTAATATATTAATCATAACTAATACTTGCCACAATTACATCCATATTCAATTCAATTTCTTTAAAATATCTCAACAATCCCTACATTTAATCGTGGCCGTTTAAATCTTAATTCGGTTTTTAATCTTCAATCTCGACGGTCAGTCATACGCAATTAATTCGAAAATCATTATATGGAATTATTTATTATTAACTATATTATTATGTATCCAAATCGGGTAAGTAAATGAGACCGAAATCTTCTATAACTATTACCAAGATTTTAGGAAATTTAAACACTTAACCAAATTAATAAATTTCAAAATAATATTTATTGCAGAAATTTTTTAAATTAGCTTTACGTTTCTGTTTTTAAAATTAATCAAAACATTTTTTCAAAAAAAACAAAAATTATAATCGATCACTTTAGTAACTATATTTTGGATTTTTCTTATAGTTAAATTAAATCTCCTATTTTCACGTATCAAATCTTCGTATTAAAGAGAAATTTCCCTACTCTCACAAATAACATAACAAAATATACTTAAGATATTAATAAGATTCTTTCTTATCAAACCGATTATATGTGTCTATAAAAAGGAGTTTAGAACGAACACATTACCTCAAAGTTTCATAAAACCATCTTCCTCCAAAACAATTAAAATAGATGTTCCTTTTGAGTTCACTTATTTTAAAGACTTAAGCCATCGATATGATTTTAACTGATGAAGCACTTTAAGTCTTTTGTTTTGTTTATAAACATATTAACGTATATAACATGTAATATAATATATATAAATACATAAATATAGATAATTTCATCATCTCTTTGCGGTTTAGTTATTTTAATGTTGTTCTTCAATTACAATCTAACTACTTAATTTTTGTGATTGTAGGGTTCCAAGATTCAGCTCTGAGTGAAGAAAGGACTATGACAAACGATTTGAGTTGCTAAAGTTTCGTCAAACAAGAATCAGAGAATCATACTAACAATCATTTTTCAGTAACGGTGATTAGGTGATACTAAATTTAGATTTAAGACTAACCATTTTTATGGGTTTTTTAAAATTAAAAAAATCTCAATATTTGCTTCTTTTTTTTTCTTCTATACCCTAGGTTTCACTAAGATAAAAGAGAGAAAGACAAAATGTGAGGAGATTCAAAGAACAAGATTAAACAATCAAATTACACTGAATAGAACTTTGATATCTATATGTACTATTTAAGGGTAACGCAACAAGCTGTATTGAATATCTTTCATTTCATTTTACATGTCTATATTTATCTCTTTATCTTTTCTTTTAAAGTTTTTGTTTTGTCTCTTATGAATTTAACATAACGAAAATATATGTATAAAAAAAAAAATTATGTTCAAAAAAAAAAAAAAAAACTTAAATACTTAGTACTAAGATTTACGTTAACCAAATTGTGAATCATTTTTATTTACTAACGTTTAATTTGTATAATTACTTTTCGCATGATCCATTACTATTATCTTTTTTACAGAGTAAACATGTAAAAATATTATCAATATATTATGCATAGATACTACACATTAAACGTTTAAAGTATTTATGATATTTAAATTCTATTAAAAGTATAATATTAATAATATTTGAACTCTATAAAATTAAAAAATATATATATTATGGAAAACATTTAAAAAAAAAAATTGACTCAAATTATAAAAGTATTATTAAAAAGAAAAATAACAAAATGATGTTTAATTTCACGGAACGGAGTTATATGGTGGAACGGATTAAAATTTATATTAATACGGGACGGTATATATATCAAGGGTAAAATCTTAAAATTAATAATCAAAATAATCTTAAATATTTAAAAAAATAAACAATATTAAAAAATACAAATAAAAATTTAATTTTTAAGTTAAATAAATCGACCCGCGGTATACCGCGGGGTAAAATCTGGTGATACTGGGCCAAATAATTGAATTTATGTGGTTTTTTAAAAACAACATGATACTGGGCCAAATCCTATACTAATATTTGGGAAGTACATCCTAAGGATCATAACTTGATTTTGTAAGAAATTACAATATATGCCATTAGAGAATTCTAATCATAAAATTTTATTCCATGTCACTAATATATATTAACGGGTCAACGGGTTTAAAGATATTAAAAGATTTTGTTTATATAATTCATATATTTTTCGATAATAACTATATTACACAATTAATATAATTCGAAATTGTTATATACTAATCAATTCGAAAATGTAACACAATTAGTAAAAATGTTGTATACTAATATATAATTCGAAAATGTTACACAAAAATGTTATTGAAAATGTTAATGAAAATGATATATCATTGAAAACATTTTATATCAATTGACTTTATAAATAATGCTATTTTGAATTATAATACTCATATAGTTCGAAAATGTTACAGAAAATGTTATATACTAATCCATTATTTGAAAATGAAAATGTTATCCTATACTATTATTTGGGAAGTACATCCTATAAGTCGTAACGTTGATTTTATAAGAAATTACAATATATGCCATTAGAGATCTCTAATCATAATCATTTTAATTCTATGTCACTAATATTCATCAATTCATTAAAAACGGGTCAATGGGTCAAACGGATTTAAAAGTATTATTGAGATTACCTAATATATAGGAGGTCAATCACGAATATAACAAACATGGATTTGTTTAGATACAAAAAATTTTTAATCATACAACGAAATTTAGTTTAGATTTTAAAATATTTTCTTAACTAAACTATACTAATTAATTATGATTAATATATATGGAAGAAAAAAATGAAATTGTATATATGTAAACTAATTAAATTTGATAATATATTAATAGATATTTCCAAAATCCTTAAATCGGGATTTTCTCAAAAATTTTGTCTATGTGTATTTCGCAGATTGGCAAAGATAAATACATATAGAAATGATATTTTTAATTTACTAAATCAGAAATAAATATAGCATCCTAAATCTTAGTACTTGCCATAACAATTGTATATTTATTCGAATAGATTCAAAACGAAAATTCAAATCCCCTGTATTAAGCAACTACAACAAACACCAATAAAAAAGTCAACAAAATATTCGAATTTTCCTAAAATATAGTTATAAAATCTAAAATCTTTCAAAAATTGTTAACCACGTAGAGATTTTGTAGTTAAGGAAACAAAAATTTATTTTTGAACATAATTTTCAAAACAATTAATACAATCTTCAAAACGGATCTCATATATATTCAATTTGCATTAAATCTTAAATTTAAAAAAGATATGATCATATCAAACCTAAATTGTGATAATGATTAGCCGACTCTCTTCTTAGCTTATAAATAGATATTATATGATCCGGCTAAATCATTCACAAATCACAAAATTTATTCTAGCAGCCATTTTTGAAATCTTTCACGCTTTTTTTTTCTAATGTTCTTTATCTTAGAAATTGTTTTCGACAATAGTCTACCTTGTGATTGTAGGATTTCAAAATTCAGAATGGAGTGAAGAAAGAATATGTCGAACACTAACAGAGGTTTGTGATAAAAGCAAATTTGAAAATCAAGAAAAATTATGTTTCTGATATACAAGTGTTTTTTTATTACAGATTGAAGAGGCATCGACATCTGCTATCAAAAACTTAGTTGGGAAGAATTTTTCAATCATTTCTTTTTGATGAAAAGGATAAAATCTGCAGTGGGCATCAGTTGCTTAAGCAAGAGTTGAATATTTTTGTTGTATATACTTTATCCTTAAACGTGAATATTTTGTAGTATACTTTTTTGTAATAAATTAGTTTACTTTTTTAAATTCAGAAAATCATACTCTAATTATGTTAATAAATCATATTACTTTTTTAAAAATTCAGAAAAACATCTCATTAAAATTGTTGACAATTTGATTTCACTTACCTTATAGATGTGAAGATTTTCAAAACCGGCTGTTGCATCCGATTCAAAACTTATTCATTCTAGAAGTCATATACTACTGAACTAGGAGAGCATGCAAATGATTTGAGAAGATGAACAGTGAGTTTTTTTTACTATCATACTTTTAAACAAATAATGAGATTTTTTTTTTTTGAGAGATCGAGTTTATAACTAGCAAATTCTTATTCAATATTTAATCTCATTATATAATCTAATTATTTACATCCTATATCCATTACGATTTTGTAAGAAATTATAATATTTGCCATTATAGATCTCTAATCATAATCATTTTAATTCCATGTCACTAATATTAATCAATTCATTAAAAAAACGGGTCAATGGGTCAAACGGTTAAAGTATTTATGATATTTAAATTCTATAAAAAGTATAATATTAATAATATTTGAACTCTATAAAATTTTAAATTATATATATTATGGAAACAATTTAAAAGCAAACTTTTAAATTGACTCAAATTATATGTATTTTAAATAAAAGTATTATTAAAAAGAAAAATAACAAAATGATGTTTAATTTCACGGAACGGAGTTATATGGTGGGACGGGTTTGTGTCGATATTAATACGGGACGGTATATATATGACGGGTGAAATCCTAAAATTAATAATCAAAATAATCTTAAATACTTAACAAAATAAAAAATACAAATAAAAAATTAATTTTTAAGTTAAATAAATCAACTCGAGGGATACCGCGAGGTAAAATCTGGTGATACTGGGCCAAATACAGTTAGAACTGAGCAAACAAATCCCAATAGAGCCCACGTAAAAACTTCAACACAATACAAATATTTTTTTTCGTTCTCAATGACACAATTCAATTATGAATATCTAATTGAACCAAATAAATTGTTCATCTCATATAAACAAAAATAGAATTTTAATGAAGCTAAATATATTTTATATACAATACAATATTCTCTCTTTCTTTATTACCAAGTCATGTTTTTCAACCAAGTTAGATTAAAACAACATTTAATTCCTATAATAAAATAGTCCAATATGATATGGAATATAGATTTAAAATTTATTATCTATATTATTTAGTTCTACAAACAAAATATACAACCATCGTCAAATGAAATATACAACATTATATCCAAATAATAATAAAAATAAAACATTATGATATATTCCCTTTTATACTATACTATTATATTATATTATTATTTAATTCTTCAAACAAAATATACAATTTGATTTACACAAAATATTAAATCCCGTGCTGTATAGCACGGGTCATGATCTAGTGTTACTAATATTTCATTTGGCGAGAGAACTTATGGGTAACTAAACACTCAACGTTTTAAATTTTACAGTTTTATCAGAAAAATTCGATACTTTTGCAAGAATCGTCTTTAATATCATGTCAAGAATCAGCTACCAAGACTGCTCCTTTGGACCTATCCTACGTGGCTACGTCCATACTGACCTCTACCACCAAGTTGACGCTGCGTCTGCGATTGCGGATGCGGGTGCAGAAAGACTTGAGAAGCAAAAAGATCGAGATCGAGATCGAGATGGGGACGTAATGCATTGGGAGAAGAATATTGATGCTGAATAACTTGAGAAAACTCATAGTGACCTACAAATGTAACTAAAGGCTTTTGAAAAAAAGTTAATCCTGGCCGTTCATTCATATGAATCTACCGGTGAATAATCTGATATTGTATTGGATAACGATGATGATATTGGTTTTGAGGATTGAGGAGACGACAATGAGTCTCTGCTTCTGATATAGTCGGAGGCATTTTCTCTTCTTTTTTTTGTATTTCTTGTTTCTTGTGCAACAAGTTTTCATTTATTGACTTGTACTCATTCTTCTCTTCTGCATTTGTTTGTCTATTATTACCGAATATATTCAAATTGACTACCTTCTTTTTTTAATTTGGAGATGAGAAACGATTTGCTAAACTAAACGTTTAAAAAGAGAAACTCTTTTTTTTTTTGAATTCGAGACTTTTGAATAGTTCTTGACTAAACAGTTTATCCATGTTTCATAATCTCTAAGAAATTACAGAAATTGGGAATTCTAAAAGGAGAGACTTTAAGACTAGAGTGGACTTTTAATCTCATTGGATGCTGAATTGGCCTCATTGGCCCTGGCATTGGATTGGTCATCTGGTTAGCTGATGGATACTGATGATATGTGTTCTGAAGTCTCCATGGTTCATAGTTGTAATATACTAATGCAGGCCCTCGAATCTGGTTAGGCACTGGAAGTTGATAAAAGTTCTGCTGGCTAGCCATTGAATGATGATATGGGTTTATCATCGGACCCTGCATTGGCCATGGAATATATATATGAGTCGGCGTTGGCATCACAGTTTACGTTGGAACTAGATTGGCCATCTGGTCAGCCCCTGGAAGCTGCTGATATGTGTTGTTCAGAGGTCTGAATGATGCAGCATTGGGAGAAAGTTGACTCTGCATACCAATAGGTTGGCTGATATTGTTTCGATCACTTGTAGACGATGTTGATCCACGGTTTGTTCTTGTGAGTTGCTGCTGGGGGTCCATCGTATGACTACTCGTAGCAATCTGATTAGGCCTTGGATTCTGATTTGAAGGATTAATAAGACCACAAGTTTCTTCGTGGCTCTGTTTTTCTCTGTTTTCAGCTTCTTCTCTATGGTCTGACAACTCAATCATTCTACGATGATACCTCTCGATTTCATCATCAGATTCCTGCCAAGACTTAAGAACCAAGGTTTCATATTTAAGCATCTATCTTACTTACTTGCGAATTAAGTAAACCGGAAATAGTATTTACCTTGGGCACATCACCATCATTGTGATCATCTTCTTTATTAGCTACCCTTCTTATCTCGCCAGATTCACTACTATCTTCACTGTTTCTTGAAGAAGAAGCTTCTGTTTTGTTGTTGGCGGAACAAGAAGCAGAGTCTTTCACAGGTTTTCGAGCGAATACATGATCACAAATCTCCGGATTAATCTTAGTCGGCTCTTCTTCAAGATTCAAATCTCTGTCTTCTTCGGAAAAACAGATATGGGCGACATCAAAATCGAGAAATCCATTTGGGAAGTTTTTCATATATTCGGGATCATCTCGTGGTTCCGGCTCAGCCATGTCGCAAGAGAAAAACTGAGAGAGACGAAAAATTAACGAACAAGAGAAAATGAAATAAATTTAAATAGGCGCCAAGGTTTTATCGTAAGAATATTTTATTCTATGTGGCCTATGTGTATTTCGGTTTAATCGTAAAGTTCAAGTTCATACTAATGTTAAGGATTCTAATATTAAAGACGACACCGTGATGGATCGGTTTCGATTAAAGAATTAGAATTCGGGTGTGTTGATAACCCTCCTCCCTTACCATTATACTAGACATTGACCCGCGGTACACCGCGGGTTCAAATATTTTTTTATATTTTCTTGTTTATAAATTTATGTTTAATGTATTTGGAGGAATTTCAGAGCGACAAGGAGGAGTTTTCATCTTTTTCTTTATCTTTAATTTCTCGTAGGGCTAATGTTAAGGCGGATAATCTGGCACGAAAAGTTCGTACAGAACCGCTTCATATCACTTATGTAAATAACATTCCTCAGGAATGGCTCTTTTGAGCTTTAATTAATTTCGGATGACAAAAAAAAAAAAATTTATGTTTAATATATAAAAATGCTATATAGTGTTGTATATGTGTATTATTAATGTGTTATAAAAAATAAAAAGGATCGGACTTAACCCAAAAATTGAAACCGCGGTACACTGCTAGCGTAGATATTTATTTGAAATTTTATATTGTATCTTTCAAAAAATACATGTAATTTTTTATAATTGATATTAATGTAGTGTACGCTATTAGTTTGTATATATTATTAACTAGGGGTGGTCCCCGCGTCCGGCGCGGGGTTGTAGGGGGTTTAATACCATTATTAGTAATGAACAATTAATAGTGTTTAATCTTAATATATATAATAGAAACATAAATGAGAAAAATGATATATTTAAACAATAGATATATTATTAAAATAATAATAGTTGCATAAAAAATACAATAAAAAACTGGATTTTGGTTGATGTTGTGTGTCATGATTTTTTCTCCACACTGCCTTAGTTTGGTTCAAAGGTGATGTGTTTAACCATGTTTTTAATATGTGGGTTAGTCACTTAAAAAATAGACCACTCGTTAAAAACATGTTTCTTGGGGATAAATTCAATCCGATGAATGTTGTCTATGCACTTTTGCAACGGAGTCTCAAAATCACCTCATGTTCCTCTGTGAGCTCTTCCGAGCCGAGGTGTGAAATTTGGTTTTCTCTAGGCTTTATTCTCGACAAAAGTTGTTTTGCTCTTGGGCTGAGCTGCTGTCTTGGACCTGACGCTCTTCCTCTCCCGAGACACTTAAATAATTGTCCATTCGTCAAAGACAGGTTTCTTGGGAATAAATTCAATCTGATGAGTGTTGTCTTTGCATTTTTGCAACGGAGTCTCGGGATCACCTCCTGCTCCCCTGTAAGCTCTTTCCAGGTGTGGAAGTTAGCTTTCTCTAGGCTTTGTCCTCGATAAAGGTTGTTTTTCTCTTGGGTTGAGCTACTTTCTTAGACCTGACGTTCTTCCTCTCTAGAGTAACTTAAATAATTGCACACTCGTCAAAGACTGACTTCTCGGGGGTTTGCACTTTTGCAACAGAGTCTCTGGATTACGTTCTGCTCCTCTGTGAGCTCTTCCCATGTGTGGAATTTGGATTTATCTATGCTTTATCTATGAAAAATATTAGTTTAAAGAATATAAACTGTCTCGTATAAAGTTCTCCTAAATGGTTCACCGAGGGGCTTTATTAGACCGTCCAGAGGAATCTGCTAAGGTGATCCTATTTCCCCATTCATGTTTATTCTATGTACGGAAGCCCTGGTTGTAAAACTTAAAGATGTAGAATGGAATGGCCGCATTCAAGGTTTGCAAATTTCCCGAGCAAGTCCTTCCACCTCCCACCTGTTGTTCGCAGACGACAGTTTATTCTTCTGTAAGGTAGACGCGTCTCAAGGTCAAGAAATCATTAATATTCTCCTCATTTATGGCGAGGCTTCGGGACAACAGTTAAATACTGCTAAATCTTCGGTAATATTGGGCAGGATGTGGACAATGTAACCTAAAATACCGTTAGGACAACATTAGGAATCCATAAAGACGGGGGCATGGGAACGTACTTGGGTCTCCCTGAAAAAATACATGGCTCTAAGGTTCAGGTCTTTTCTTTTGTGAGAGATAGACTACAAAAAAGGCTTAATACTTGGTCAACAAAATTTTTGTCTAGAGGTGGCAAAGAAGTTCTTATAAAGTCTGTTGCACATGCACTTCCGACATATGTTATGTCGTGTTTTTACTCTCGAAGGCTATTCGCTCTAAACTAAGTAGTGCCATTGCTAATTTCTGATGGAAAACCAATAAAAATAGTAATGGTATCCATTGGATAGCATGGGATAAACTCTGCACCCCATATTCCGATGGAGGTCTTGGATTTAGAACACTTGAAGAATTTAATCTAGCTTTATTAGCTAAGCAAATGTGGCGCCTTATCAGATTCCCAAGCTCCCTCTTAAGTAGGGTTCTAAGGGGTCGTTATTTTTGCTTTAGTGACCCCTTAGATATACGAACTTCTAATCAGCCTTCATACGGCTGGAGAAGCATCATGGCTGCCAAACTCCTCCTGGTCTCTGGACTTCGGAGAACCATCAGTTCAAGTATGCTTACCAAAGTTTGGGAAGATCCCTAGATTCCCACAATTCTGGCTAGACCCGCGAAGAGTATTCTTGCCATAAAAGATCTTCATCTCCATGTCAACGACCTAATCGACCAACCCACAAAGATGTGGAAAGTTGATCGTCTTCAAGCGTTGATCGATCCCGATGATATTCCACTCATTTTAGGGATTCGCACAAGTCGTACCTATTTGAGTGATTGTTTTAGTTAGGTCCATACCAAGTCTGGTAATTATACTGTTAAGTCAGGATACTGGGCCGCACGAGATTTATCTCGTCCTACTTGTGACCCCCCTTTTCAGGGACCAGGTGTTTCGGCACTTCAGGCACAAGTATGGAAGCTTAAAACTACGCGGAAGCTTATGTATTTTGCGTGTCAATGTATCTCGGGATGTCTAGCCACGTGCCAAAGACTCTCTTACCGACATATTGGCACAGATAAAGGATGTCCTTGTTGCGGAGGGCCAGAAGAATCTATTAATCATCTTCTCTTTGTCTGCCCGCCCTCGCGACAGATTTGGGCTTTGTCACCTATCCCCTCTTCAGGGCACATTTTTCCTAGAAACTCCCTCTTCTATAATTTTGATTTTCTTCTCTGGCGTGGGAAAGAATTCGGAATAGAAGAGGAAGTTCTTGAACTTTTTCCATGGATATTATGGTATATATGGAAAAGTCGGAATAAATTTCTTTTTGAAAACTATAAAGAACCTCCCCAGGAAACTTTAGCCTTGGCAATTCAAGAGGCGAAAGTTTGGAAACAAGCAAACGTGAAAGAAAGATCTTCTGAAGATTCTCCTCTCCTCCCGGTACCAGCTCAACCCTCGCCTCTTTTGACCTCGGAATGCCAGTTTGATGCTTCTTGGCATATGGATGACACTCTGAGCGGGTCAGGATTGGTTCTAGTTGGTCAAGACAAAATCTGTCATCTAGGGCTAAGAAATGCCCGTAGAAGTTTGTCACCGCTCCACGCAGAATTTGACTCCTTGCTTTGGGTAATGGAGTGCATGATCTCGATTGGCGATTCCAATGGTGCTTTTGCTTCCGATTGTTCAGACTTGATTTCTATCCTTGATGCTCAAGATGATTGGCCAACCTTCGCAGCGGAATTAACCACTTTCCGGTCCCTTAGTTGTTTATTACCTTCGTTTAGTATTAGATTTATTCCTCGAAAGTTCAATACTCGGGCTGATATTTAGCTAAAAAAGCTCGGACTTGAAATAGTCTTTTCTCCCATGTAAGCACATCGGAACCTGGTTAGCTCTCCCTAGCGGAGAATCTCTTCCCGATATCTTAATATAAATGGTGTTTGAGGAAAAAAAAAAAACAATAGATATATTATTAAAATAATGATAATTGCATAAAAATGCAATAAAAAACCGGATTTTGGTTGATGTTGTGTGTCATAATTTTTTCTCCACACTGCCTTAGTTTGGTTCAAAGGTGATGTGTTTAAGCATGTTTTTAATATGTGGGTTAGTCACTTAAAAAATAGACCACTCGTTAAAAACATGTTTCTTTGGGATAAATTCAATCCGATGAATGTTGTCTATGCACTTTTGCAACGGAGTCTCAAAATCACCTCATGTTCCTCTGTGAGCTCTTCCGAGGTGTGAAATTTGGTTTTTTCTAGGCTTTATTCTCGACAAAAGTTGTTTTGCTCTTGGGCTGAGCTGCTGTCTTGGACCTGACGCTCTTCCTCTCTTGAGACACTTAAATAATTGTCCATTCATCAAAGACAGGCTTCTTGGGATAAATTCAATCTGATGAGTGTTGTCTTTGCATTTTTTCAACAGAGTCTCGGGATCACCTCCTGCTCCTCTGTAAGCTCTTTCCAGGTGTGGAAGTTAGCTTTCTCTAGGCTTTGTCCTCGATAAATGTTGTTTTGCTCTTGGGGTGAGCTACTTTCTTAGACCTGATGCTCTTCCTCTCTAGAGTAACTTAACTAATTGCACACTCGTCAAAGACTGACTTCTCGGGGGTTTGCACTTTTTCAACATAGTCTCGAGATCACCTCCTGCTCCTCTGTGAGCTCTTCCCATGTGTGGAATTTGGTTTTATCTATGCTTTATCTATGAAAAATATTAGTTTAAAGAATATAAACTGTTATAATTGTGACAGATTATGGTTTATAATTTTGAAATTCTTTCAGGAAGCAGGATTATAAACCAGACGTGTTCTTTTGTTTCGAGGTAGTTTTGTCATTAATCATTAAAAATTAATTCGTCTTCTATAAATTTTGGCTTATCGTTGGAAAAATGTAGTTGTCATATCATCGTCTGTGTGATTTGATTCGCAAAATTAGAGTATTCTCAAGGTGTTGACCTACATATATTAATGTGTAATTGTGTATATGTTGTGTAATTTTCAAATGTTTGTTTTAAATATGTTATTTTGGTTTGATTAGGTGTCTTAATGACTAAGGAGAACTACTGCACGTATATGCAGTCAGGTTCTGTTCAACCTTACATGTCTAGACACTACAGGAAATGTGGGTAATAATAGCGGCCGAAAAACGCTATTATTCATCTACCATAGCGTTTCCTTAAGCGCTCTGACATCGCCCGTTATAGAAAGTCGGACACTTTAGATAGCGGACTTTGCGAATGCTATAGTTAATTAAACTATGATAGCGTTTATGACGTTGCTATTATTAATATTTATAATAACGTGTAATAATCGTTATGATTTTGTTTCGCCCTGGGCGTTCGGTTATCTCGGGTTAATCGGATCGGTTTATTCGGTTTATTGGTTTATTCTGTTTTACAAAATTCTGCCGAATTGTTCGGTTCGGGTCGGTTCGGTACTCACTTTTTTCGGTTCGGTTATAGGGTTTAAAATCAATTCCGAAATAAACAGAATTTTTTTTTTATCTCGGTTATTTCGAACCGAATTAGACCAAAAATAAAAAATGGATTACAAATATATAATACAAAACCCATTAATAAGCCTAACTAACAATTTTACAAACAAAAAGCCCAGAGCCCATTAACAAATTAGGGTTTTCAGTTTACACAAGTGGTTACGGTGACAAAATAACGGCACGGCGACGGCCGTTCGATCTTCCCGTCGGATGAAGCTTCCTACTCGCCGCCACAAAGAGATCTGCTCACGTTCGATGAAGCTTGTTACTTGCCAGCTACAAAGAGAACAGTCCTCAACCAGATCTGTCGCCTACCATCTTCATCTTCAACTAAAATAAGAAAAGCAAAATAAAAGAATTATAAATCGATTCTCTAAGATTATCAAACCAATAAACAATTGTTAGATTCAGTTGAACAAATAAACAATTTACTTTCAATTTTTGTTTATAAGAACCCATGGAAATTATAAGTACCTTCGACAGACCATTCTTCTTCTTCGTCTTCTTCTTTGGTTCTCTCAGATTCGAGTCGGAGATGGCAATGAATTTCGTTAATCCTGCCAAAGGCAAATCTAAGACACCGGATTTAACCCTAAAAGCCTAACCGACGCAACCGGAGAATTGTTCTCGTTGTCACCACCCTCAGATGCGAGATCTGCCGCTAGATATCCATCACGGAGATGACCGGACATGTAAAACCCAAATACACAATTGAAATCCGCCTTGAGCCACCGTACTCTAACAGCTCGGAATCAATAAAAGTAGCAACCGTGAGCCACATGTGAAGAAACTGTAAGCAAACGTTTGGTTTTCTCATAAGAATGTAAGAGTTGAAGACTTGAAGGATACGAAGAAAAGAAGAAAAAGGAGAAGTTTTAACCAAAAAGAAAAAAAGCCTTTGTTGGGCGATGAACGGATGAGATTTTCTTAAACATGCAGCCGCCAAAGCCTTTGAAAGGCTGAGATCTCGCCACATCAGCAATCCGAGTGAAACATTATGATTGGCTTATTTTGTTTATAGGCATAAAAATGTGTTTTTACTATTTATATAATTTTTAAAAAATTATATATTGACTAATTAATATGTTTATGAGTTATTTACATGATTATATAATTTTTTCGCAATTTAAAAAAAATATTTTGCAACGTTTTTAGAAATTTGAAGGTAACACATATGATTGCCTTAGAATACATGTACACTAATCTTCTTATTGTGTAAATCATATTGTTGAAACACATTAATGATGTTATAATTAATAAAATGATAGAATTCATTTATGTTATAATAGTATACTTTATATCATTAGTATTAGCTACTATTTAAAACACTAAACCCTAAACCCTAAACCCTAAACCCTAAACCCTAAACTATTTTTAAAAATGAAATTTATTTATGTTATTATTTGTTATAATTAATATTATTACTATTTCAAACAAATATAATCAAAAAACCTAAACCATACATTTCATACCCTAAACCCTATACCCTAAACCCTAAACTCTATACCCTAAACTCTTTGAAATTATAACTTTGTTATTATTTTTGTAATTATTAATATTATAATTAAATATTTATGTCTTTTTGAGATATTTGGTTATATTTATTTATATATTTTTTTTTTTTTTAACTTTTCTTTTACAAAATTCGAAAATCATTTAAAAAATCTTAAAAAATCTTTAAAATCATTTAACTTGAAATCTAAAGTACATGCCTTAAAATAATTAATTCAATTTTTCCAATTAAAATGTTTTAAGTATGTGTTTTTGTGTTTAATATATTTTTGCCAAGGAGTTCAGAAACTAACTGCTACAGAAAATACAACAAATATAGAATTTGGATTCACATGTCCCCTTCAGCTCTTTCTCTTTGGCTGCATTGTTGTTTCTACGCTAATATATCAAAAAAGAGATTCAAAAATACAACTTTAAGCATATATAGAGAGAGAGTGAGAGAAACGGTTCCGATCCGGATCAAATTGATATTAAAAAAGCCTAAAATTGAGGTTTTTCAGATATTCAAAGATACAAACCAAGATCCTAGACAAGCCTTATAATCTATGATGCACGATATATAGCCATCAACTCAGTCACCAGCTGCTTGTCATCGTGATTCTTCACATATCTCTTTAAGAATACCAGATTGTTACATACTAAGACATATGATATCGAAGTGAGTTCTGCAGGATTACCCTGAAATGAACAACTAAAAGCAAATCACTGTTTCTTGTTTCCATGTAAAACTCAAAATGAAAGTAAGAGAAGAGGGGAGTAACATACAGGATGACAAATACTTCATCTTCCTTTAGCTCTCCGGTGGGATTTACTGTGCCCATGAGATAGTATGATTCGGTCACATGAAGACTTCCTGCTTTGAGATCATTCTTCTCTGTATTTACGAGAATAGACAGATGATTCTTCAAGTGTGGTTCGTCAAGGGGCAGCTGCACATGCAAATTTACTTCTTAAAAGATCTATCAAGAGTCACATCTTAAATTACTTAACTCAGTAGTAAATTATCTTTCTTACAAGGAACCAGAAAGCTTGACAATTTACTACGACTTTATCACTATTCTGATAATAAGTTCAAAGGATCACACACTCAAATAAATATGACATTCACTCACATGCATCAACACACTAGAAAGAAAGTAAAGACACAAAGAGTAATAGTCACACTTCACTAAACTCTCTCTAGTTTATAGCCTGATCTACAAACACAATTATCAAATCCATAATTTAACACTACGATTTGAAACAAACGAATCAAAATTTAAAAAGTGTAATCAACTGATCATCAATATACCCTCAGCAACAATATCAGTTCCATTCCAAGCAAAGATGTTGTAAATCGGTTGTTCATCAGAGTCCTAAAGAGTTATGCACCTATTAGTAATATAATTGATATTGATAGTTTAAACAATGGCAATATTAATAATTTAGATATATACCATGTTATGCTCAGTTGGAGAGTTGTTGTCTGATTCCCCGACAACAACTTCATCTTTTGAAAACCAATCCAATATCTTACACTTAATTCCTCCTTTGTTTGTGTTTGATACATTAGATTGAGCATCCAAATCAGCACCAGATAGCTACCAAGAGGAAAAATAATTGGTTACAAACTATTATGACCATTGTGATAAACAAATGTGAAACTTACTTTTTTTCCAGCTAAACAATGAAGTTGACTCTGCAAATCTTCAATCTTGGTAGCCATTTCTGCTTGTGTAGCCAGAAGCTTCTGAACATGTGAGTCTCTAGCGTTAAGAATATCCAGCTTGTTCAGACTAATCCCAAAGCTTTCGATGAAGGATAACCCAAAGCTTTCGATGAAGCATTCACAAATTGATTTGCACCTTCAACATACTCAATGCTATTCCTGTAAAGAAAACCATGAAGTCCAAATATCAATGTAACTCAATAACACATTTTAAAATTAAAAGTACAAGAATATGATAGAGTTTCATACCTAGGTAACCAAACCCATGACTTCTCCATATTACCAAACACAACACAGCTCCTCGACCAGTTATATACATTAAAAATTCAATTGATCAGACATTCAAGTTACTAACATATTCAATCTCCTTAACAAACATGGCCGAACAAAAATAGAACAACAAGGAGAGAAAGGATTCACAATCTTACGATTAAGCTCAAGTCTTCTTGGACAAAGGATTTGTAGAATCTGCAAATAACAAGAACAACAAATCAATTACTCATGGAAACAAGTCGAATTAGAAAACGTGAACCAAAAAATTAAAAATCCCTAATTAATACCTTAGCCAAATCTGACCCAAAAATCTGCAAAAATCAGAGAAGTTTTGGAGAGGATTAGTATATGTGAAACCCAAATTAACCAAAAATAAACCTAAATCGACATTGAAGAAGAGATAAATGGAAGAGGGGAGTCAAGATTGAAGAAGAGACATGGAAGGAGATCTCACATGGAAGAGGGGAGTCGAGATTGAAGAACGATACAAACCAATGAAAGTGGATCGGAATAACGACGACGGCGGAATAACGACGACGGTGGCGGAATAACGACGGCAACGGACGGCAAAGAGAAAGAAAGCTTGGGCACGATCGAGAAGAAAGCTTCGGCACTAGAGAGAAATAAAGAAAGCTGGGGAAAGTTTTTTGTTTTTTTCTAAGTGTTTTGGCTTTTTGCCAACACAAAAATTAAAACAAGCGGGCAACTAAAAATTTATTCCCGCTTATAACCTATTATAACACTAAACGCTATAAAAAAGTAGTGTGTACCTGATTTATAGCAGAAAATTGAAAAACGCTATATTTAAGTGCTATGGTTGTTCACATTTCTTGTAGTGAGAGTTTTGGAGGATGTGGTATTTTTTTGCTGGCAAGGATCACACATTTTGCACTTGAGATTTCGAGACTCCGTTGCAAAAGTGCAAAATGTGCTTAATAACTATAAACAAACTAAAAGCAAACAATATGTATTAAAAATATGTGTTATTAAGTTTTTCAAACAATAAGCTGAAAACGAATTAGGGTGTATTTTGAATGCTTTTCAAAATAGTAAAAGTCAAAATATCATTATAATTTTCAAAAGTTCACTTTCAAATATGAAAATATGAATAACATTCTTTCAAATTCAAAGAAACACTCTTATTCTTTCATTTTGAATTTGGAAATAGAAAGAATGTTACGTCAAAAATGAAAACTAATTCAAGAACCATAAAACAATCCAACCAAATTGTTCACAATAATGATTAGTGAGCTAAACTAATAATCAAACCTGTACTTTAATGGATCAAACATTAATAATCCACAAACAAAAACCTAATCATTACGTTGCAACAAAGGTCCATAATATATAAACTGGATATTAAAATAAATATGTCAAAATAAACTTGTCACAGCACCAGACGCCTTCAGTCATTTGTTTCTTGATAATCAAGGAATCAAAATAATAATCTATGACTGAATTGAACTGAAAGAACAATTTCGTATGAATTTGGATATTCTATAGTATAAGTTAATAGAAATTTCACCTTTAGATATATAAATTTAGTTGGTGTCGATTAGTTGGTACTTGCTTTCCCATTCATATTACACGGGTAGATAAAAATCGTTGACAAATAATACACAACGAAACGTGCTCCACCTACACCATCGTGAAAGCTATGTTCTGGTTCGCTGATATCAACTCTTAACATATCAAGTCATCACTGTCTCCTCCAGGAACAAACCAAGTTCTCCACCTTTACACAAACCATCGGATGGAGAAACCCTACTGTGAGATCCCTTTTGTCTATGGGAGATGGACACTTTGACACACTTTTGCCAACATTTCTTAAAATTGTTTTTATAAAGAAGTCCAATATTACCCACCACTCTCTATCTCAATGACGGTTAAGAACATCCGCTTTGGAACATGCTTCTCGTCTTCCTTCACCAAACCATCTCACGATCGCTCTCTTCTTCATCTTGAAGCCCAAGCCAATATCTCAATGTCTCAAACTTCTTAATTATGTTAACCATCTCCATTACCTTACCTTCCTCCTGATCCAACCTGGAGTAGTTAAAGACCAAAATATATATTTTAGAAACATGCTCACGTAACCTATTTTGCCGCTAAAGTTGCGATCAGTTTCCGCCGCTTCAAATTCTGCCCAAATCTGCAAAAACGAAGGCCAATTTCAAATTAACTATATTAAACATATATGGAAAACAAAAAAAAAAAGAGCCTAGACATGAACCAACAATAAATTGTCACACTCACCATTTCCTTGTACGACGATAAAAGCTTGATTCGATAAGCACTCTGAACATAGAAAGACTTAGTATGTGAGTTAAAACGAAAGAGATTGAGCGCATGAGAATTAAACGAAAGACGAAGATAGTATTGAAATGCAACTTTTCACCTGTTGCTTAGACAGCTTCTTCAAAGCGTTCTTCCTGATATCAAACATGTCACTCGACACACCAAGCTCCATCATTGGCATATACCTATTTCCATGGAAAAACAAAATATTAAGAATCAATCTTCTTACTCAAACACTCCTCAAATCACCAAAGTGAAACCAATTCCAAAACGATTGCTTTTTAGACGTTCTAAAGCAGAGAAGAAAAACATCAGTGTGAGCTTCCGAACAAATGAAATCATAGATTCTGTTTCAGCGATATCTAATAAACTACTTTTCACCCATTAACAAAAGTACTCCATCAAAATAAAATAAAAACACATAGGAAGCAGACAAAAAGAAAGACAAACACTTTATCAAAGCCAGAGAGAAAGAGAGGGTTGATTACCAACTCGAGTTTTGTGGGTCTCGACCCGTACCCGCAGACACCGTTCTTAAGTAATATATATACAATCGGTCGTTTGGGATACGATTCACTTCCACCACCGTTTTGCAATCCTAACCGCTACATCCAAGCTACAAACGCCACATTAAAAAAACAAAAACTTTCAATTCCCACATAAACCCTAATCAGACACTAATCGTAAAGAAGACAAAGAGTGCCATTAACGTTACCGTTGATGCTGGTCACGTTTTCTGGGGCGGTCCATCCGTTACCGTTGATGCTGGTCACGTTCTCTGGGGCGGTCCATCCAAGTAATGAATCAGACCGCAAACCATCATCGCCGGTGCCACAGTACCTGAGTGGTCTACATTGAAATCAGACCGATTGTGAGCCGTAATACACGTCTTTCTCTCTACAAACCTGCTTGTGTATGCAAATCCATCCTGCAATCATACGTAATTAAACAACATTAATATGTTTATAAAAATCGAGCCATAAATAAATTACAGAAGAAAAAAAAACAGGGGTTGGTTGTGATCTAAAAGTGACTACCAAGCAAGGTATTTATATGAAATTAAGAGGCGGTGTAATATCTACAACAAAAAAAGGAAGATTTATATATTTTTTAAGAAGCGAATCTTTATCATAACAATTAATAATTTAAAATTGTCTTATTCAATATTATACATATTAATTTAAGTAACGTTTCATTTTTTTTTAAGATAAAGATGGAATAATAACATAACGATTTAGATTTACTACTATATCTTATATTTGTTTAGATTTTCCGTCATTATCGACATAAAATATTTAAAAAATAAAATTTTATTAGAGATATGAATCAAATTTCAAGAATATACGTAGGATTGTTTTGATATTTTTTGCCAATATCTACTTATCAAAAGAGGAAAATTTAATTTTTAACTCATAATTCTCACAAACGATTGGTTGGGAAAAAAAAAAAAACGGAAAACAAAGCGAAAAAAAAAAGAAAAAACAAAAAAAGAAGACACACGTGACACGACCATTCTCCGTCTCCTTCTACGAAATCCCACGTTTTTCATTACGATCAATGGAGATTAATACACTTTCATCGAGTCTATATTCAATCAGATAATCCAAGGTAATTTTAAAGAACACCCTCTTTTATTAGCTTGAACTGTATGATGCAGGATAGCATCAATAATTCAATATGATGGTTTGAAGACTTGGCATGGACAAGATATTAATTAAGAGTCGTCTTTCCATCATGTCAGATTCGATCAAAAGGTGATGTTCTATCACTAAATTGTCGATTCTCTCTGGTTATATGCTATATTTTAGGTTTTCAAGTCCGGTATGTATATTAAAAAGTTTACATGCGACGAAGAACATGATGATGAGGTACGATGAACATCTTCTAAAGTGGTACGTAAATTACAATCGATCCATTTTTTTTCTTATTTTTTCTTATTTTTTCGTGTTTACGAATATTATTAATTTTAAAAAATATTACAATCGATCCATTTTTTTTAGGTTTTCTTATTTTTTCGTGAAAACGATGGAGGATATTTATATTAATAGTTGCACGCTTTAGGGCTTGGAATATCTCCGACGGTGAATACAACAACAAAAAAGTAAAAATTTCCAAGGGACCTTCGCGAATAAAACGAACACAAGCTTTGTCTACATAAACATCGACTCTTGATCCCTAGAAACACGTCAATGACTTCTCAACCCCAATGGAAAACAGATTAAAAAATAGAGGTAACGATATTAGTCCAAATATGAATATTATAGTAGATACAGACCGCAAACGATATGAATCCAAAATATACCGCTTAATCAATAGATGTATTAGTCAGACTTCCCGCATACATCCTCAAGACACAAGCTCATCGAGGAAAACCTCGATACCTACAAACAAACATGGAAGAGTTTAGATCATCAGAATGTAATAAACATACGCATACAATCATACGAAGCATAAAAAAAAAAAAAAAAATTATGAGAACAGGGGTTAGTTTGATCTGCAACTGAACACCATGCATGCTATTTATACTAAACGAAGAGACCCTTTTTATTTTATTTTTTTACGTTTATTATTTTGAGATGATAATGACGAAAGGAATATTAACATATTTTCCGTTAGAATATATACACACGATAATCCGTACTAACAAAACTACTATTTTCACAAAATCATGTATATTAAATTAATAGAATTTTTCCTGATTATCCGATCAACTAAATGGAAATAAACTTAACAATCCAAGATCGACAATGATATTCGATATTATCATAATATTGATCATAGTATGAAAATATCAAAATTGACACATTCTTAAGATTTACCATATCTAACACAATCGAAATAGAAACGTGATATTTATCTTATTGTTTTCCATCATTATTATTGGCTAATTGGAAATTTTTAAAAAGTAAATAATACTAATGTTTCACGAACGTCTTGGTTAATCGCCAATCGGTAAACCAATTTACGACAAAACCAAAAGGGGAGTCGAATATGACGATCGTACTCAGCCTCGTTCAAGCCGTTCACCATCGATTTCAAATTGATGTCATGCAATATTTTACAACAAAGAGAAAGGTGATATTCGTAAACCTAAATCACAATATATATGCAACCTATATGTATCTATCCTCTTTTTTTTTTTCTTTCTTTTTGCTCTGGGTTAGGGTTTAATTCCAAGAACGACAATTATATTAGAGGAATCACGTCCACATGATAAAGTTCACAATGAACCAACATCAATCCGAACATGGTGGGTTCTCTACCAACGAACATAATATATTGTCTTGTATATTTTTTGTTTTCTTGTTATCTTGTTTTGATGTTAGATTCAAACGACGAAGAACACGACGACTAAACCCTAAAACTTTCTTCAATTCCGGTACGTTTGATTTCTTTTTTTTTTAAATTAAACAATTATTAGATATTTATTTTTTATGTTTCCTTAACGATACAAGGTTAGCATAGTAATTTTATATGATTATTGTTTGTCATTACGATTTTTACGTAAATTACCGCAATAATTAACTTTTAATTACGAAAATAAAATTAAACCGACTTGATTTAATAGAGGGTATTTAAGTAATTACGTAAAATCAAGGACTCAACAAGAGCCGAGAGTCCGACACATCAGCAAAAACACTTCTCAAATATTGTTATTTATAGATGATGGCTAGTGGGTGATACGATCCTGGAGTGGATCCTTATTGGGCCTGACGATTGAAGAAGAAGTCTAGAAGCCCAAGTCCTCTTATTTAGCTTATTTACGTTTTATGCCATTGTCTCTTACATTGTATTTACTATTTAGGTTTCCTTTGTCCTGGGAAAACATTTTATCGAAAGATCAACAAAATTAAAAACAATCATCTTCTTCCTCAATTTCTTCTGATTTCTCATCTCTTTCTTCTACTTCTCATCTCCTTTTTGTTCTTCTTTGATAAACCCTAATCAAGTTAGGGTTTAGCCCAGTAATAATACCCAACATCAGAACAAACATAATCCTTCACCAAACACAACTGTCTTCTCAGCCGAACAACGAACACGACCATCACTCCACTTATGGGTTTACCTCCAATTTCGTTCAGCTTTTTAAGGTAAGCTTCAAGCTTCTATCCTCATTTTGATTTTCGTTTAAATTACATCTCCTGGGTTTTCAATCCGTCTGTAATAATTTGAAGTGATGTCAATTTCAATTTTTGAATTCAGTTCTAGATGGTTACTCCAATTGTTTTATGTTATTATGTTTATATCGATTTCTATTTCCGATTACCATTTAGTATTTGATTTAGTTTATGTTTTTTTTTTCCATCTGAATTTGCAGATATTTAACCAAGGATCAATAGATAACCACTTTCGATTACAGGTAAGAGATATAGATCTATTAGTTTTTGGATTATGTTGCATTAGGTTTGTTTCTGCCTCTGGTGGCGGGAGGTATCTCTCGACAGACTCTAACAAAATTGATGAGCCCTTCAATGTGGAAGAAGCTGAGACTGTACATGTGCCTCCACCTCCAACTGAGAAGGTATGCATTATTGGCTCAGATGGTAATGTTGGAATCTCGACCTCCTCATCTCTTTAGGGTCAGATTCTCTTATCTCTCTAGTTCTCTCTCTTGTGGTTTGCACAGGTCACATGATCGATAAAGGAGAAATTAAGCTTTAGGTGTCACAGATTTCACCTGCACTGAATGGTGTAAGAAACAAATGGAGAATGTTCTTTGTATTGGCAAGAGAAAAGTCAATAGGTACTACAAAAAGGATATTAAAATTTAGTACCATTGCATATTTAATTTCTGAAACCGAAGAAAATTATATTACCTTGAACATCTCAAAAGATATTTTGATGGTCTTTTTAGGGAATTGGAGAACAAATCTCCTGCTACAAACACTTGCAGATCCGGCTTTGGCTTGCTCTCAAAGATTGGAGCAAAACCATTGTTTGGTAACCTGCATACATTCAAAGTATATTTCTGGCATTCATAAACTGAGATGGTTATTAAAAATATAAGTAAATCTCACCAAATTTTATTGTGTATGTTTTGCAGGTAGGTATGAACGACTGTTTGAGACATTGTAGAGAAATTTTTGAATGAACCTTAATTTAGTAAGGAATGAAGGAAGTGCTTGATGAGTTAGAAAGTGGTCTCACGAAGCTATATATTTATAGAGATGTTAGAGGTCTAGGTTTATGGCTTAGTCAGATTAGAGAAAATCTTGGAGATCAAGCCTAAAATCTTGGAGAGAAACTATAAAATAAAAGATTGCGTCAACAACATATATTCGTATTTGGTATATGAATGAATGATTCACTAATTTTGGACGAATAAGGATATTGTAGAGTCTTTTATAGTTAGGATTAGATCTAAGTGAATATTACAATATCATTAGTTTAGGAATTAGCGGATATATGATCGAATATGCCTTAATTTAGATACCAAAAATAGTGAATGATTAGGATTGCTCAAACCCGAGTAGTTACTTTTAAGTTGCTCCGAAAATATTGTTTTTATTACAACATCCCTTAAATTGCTTATCCAAGATCCGAATAGACTAAAACCGGGTAAAACCCGGATACAAAAGAATTTATGCAAAAATCCCCTGTAAAAATGTATATGTAGATTTTAATTATTATCTTTCTCATGTATTCATATATATAATGAAAAGTAATTAATATATTATTATGTTAATTACATGAACGTCATTATATATATATGAATTATTAAGTGTGGGTTAATTTAAGTGGTGGTTACGTGGGTTCATTGGTGACTATTGGTCACATATAAGAAGTAAACGTACACCATATTAACTGGTGCTGGAACGGAGAGAAAGATAAGAAGGTTTTAGATTCCTTCTCCATTAGAGGAATCGATTGAAGTAAAAGGTCAAAGGGAGGAGAAATCAATTGGTGAATTGATTCCATTACAAGCCTAATTAAGCAATGGATCAAGGTTAGTCTTTCTTCTTCTACAAGAAAGTGTTTGTGGTTGAATTAAATTGAATCTAGATGATCTTGGGAATTAG